TTAATATATTTAAATAGTAGAAATTATTTATTGGTAGTTCTAAGCATATATAATAAATACCGAATTGAAACCGGCAGTTATATTTTGAATATACCAACGTCCGAATATATTCTCAATTTGAAGTTTCTTCGCGGCACTATTTACTCATGAATGTAATCGACACGAGGTTGATTGTGCGATGTATAAAAGAAAACATAAATAAATACATAAAAAGATAAGTTTAAACGCAGAAGCTTGCGATAAGTTTGTGCTTCTCTATGAGTTATCGCGGAAACAGATTTCACGTTTCGGACGATTATTTCGTCGTAATTGCCTGCGAGGCGTTAGCGTCATTGTTACTTTGTTAGTATTAATAGCGCGACGGTAATTTCAAGACATTCCGCGTATGTGTCGGCGCGCACACGGTAATCATCGAAGACGCGCGGCGACATATTATCATTCGTATGTGTTCATGCTGATTTAGTACTTACGTGTGTACTGTGTACCTGCATAAAAGATGTGCGGGCTCAGCAAGGTCGAGGGGCTTTCGTACTTTGTCCGTTGCTTTTACGCGCAGTCCATTTTAGAACGTGTCACAATCAAAACACGGTGTCTTCCGATCTACACTTTATCACACTACTTCTCTCTTGCGAGATGAATCGAAGAATTCATTGCTATAACGAGAGATTTCGATCTTCTTTGGAATGTAGAGAAAATTCACATAAAAAATTAGAAAAATTACTTGTTGATCAATTTCTGAGAAACGAGATCAGTTTGAGTATTGTTGAATGTTGCGATAAACCCGTTAATTTATTTGGAAATTGTTAAAATCAGATATAAATTTTTTTAAATTTATCTACAATAATATTTACAATTTATTTTATTATCTACAATAATAATGTAGGATATGTGAAATTATTGTATACGCTTACCAATTTCTATATAAGCAATGAAATTAATTGGAGAATTACTGGTTGTTACGGTGAACTCTTCAATTTATTTGCGAGTGTTAAAATTGGACATGAATTTTCTTAAATCCAGTCACAATAATAACGTAGGATGTGAAATCTCGCGAAATTTCGCGATGTGTAATTAGCAAACTTTGAGAATCACTGTCTTATAAGGCAGCGTTTCGCAATATTTCCTCTTGCTCGTGGCCTCTCTCATTCGGCACTTTACGATTTCTTTTCTCATTATTAGTTGCAGAGATAGAAGTCTGAATAGCCTATTCAGCGATTATTATGATTCTCCATTGTTCCGTTTTTTTTTTAATAATATATATGAGAGATTCTCAACCAACAGCTAGAGAGCTGCTGCAGAGAATTCCATCCGCGATTATTGTTCTAACAATAAATTATCGAAGCATCGAATGCACTTCCCTATTATATATAGCCTGCCCCTTCCGATATGCAATCGTCGCAGCTGACGGAAATGCCAGCCGGGTCTCGTCTCATCGCAGGCGCTCCTAAGGCGCTAATGCCGCTAATCGCGTTGTGCATTATCGATGCACGAGGAAGGCACAGGTCAAGTTCAAGGTGCAAGGTGCTCGTGACCTTGACCGCGCGCTGTCGTAGACCCCGTCGGACCATCCGGTTCTGCGTTTTGATAAAAAAGAGTCATATGAAGCCCGTGTTGTCACGCTTCACACGCATCGGAGATTGAAGATTGCGAGAATTGGAGATTAGAATTCGACGATAATTTTAATCCGTCTCGTTCTGATTCGGCCGATTTCTAATATCCAATTCTCAATTCTCGTGATACTCCAATGTGTAACGTGACACGGACTTTATGTAGATCCCTCGAGGATTTCAACAACGCGTATTTCAACAAACAGTAGAAAAACATGCGGCAACAACAAGAGGAACGTGTTTCTTTATGTAATCGCCGGGATGTTTATTTGTATCGGATCGTATATATTTAATCCTTGTCTGGTGATGACTGAATCGCACTCGATGGATATTCATTAGTTTTCGAAGGCTACTCGCACATCCCCTTTAAATATCGCAAAGATATATAAAAAATCAAACTTGAAAACTGCTGCTTTTTACTGCTGTTTTATGTGTTATATCATTATTATCCGCGGAACGACTTTTTGATTATCTGGTAGGATCAAGAATGACTCAGCTAATAATTCTCCGTAGGATACGTCTTTAATTTTTTTTTTAAGTTCTAGTAATATTTTAATTTGTGAGTCTTAATTTTATGCATGTTGTTTTAGCGTTTGAGGAGCCTTTTCTTAGAGTGCTCAATAAATGATGTTTTCACTGCAAATCCAAGTAAGTGTAAAAATAACACACTATAGTGTCATACGAAAAACTGTGTGTAACACTGTGTATTACACTAAATTATACACATATAAGAAGGCACTTATTACACACTGGATTTGCAGTGCTCTCTCTCTCTCTCTCTCTCTCTCTTTTGAGAATCAATAGGTCTGTTCTTTTTTAGCTGAACTGGCTGCACTAGTTCACAGTTTATCTTTCTCTTTCTTTGAAAGAAGAAAGATAAACTCTGAACTAGTGTAGCTAGTTTAGCTAAAAAGAACTTATTAACGTGTACAACAAATAGCGATGCAGAAAAGTAACGAACACATGGCGATAACAAAAGAAATTCGTCGTATGCCATGCGATTGCTGAGATTTTTATACTCATACGGATAGAAGTAAAATGGACAAACAGGGGTATCTGCGCTACGAAATAAAAACGTGAAGCAAATATGCGCGCAAGATCTGATGTACTTTTTCGCTACTTCAAAGATGGTCCTTTGCTTTCAACTATCGGATCTTATCTCGCTCGCGAATGTTAGGACAGATGGGACTAATGCAATCGCGTAAAGATTGTACGCGCACGATCGTGATGTACGTACATACATACAATTCGCGCGTCACGTTTTTATTTTTTATTTTTTTCCTTTTCGCAACACATTTTTCATAACATTTACCTTAGCGAGGCGAGTGTTTTCGATTTTGAGCGCGGACGAGCGCCCCGGGAGACGTGCCGCCTCGTGTATTTTTTTCTCTTTACTCCTTTTCTTTCTTTGCTTCGCAGCTCGCTTCGATAAGCACGGAAGCGAAAGCGCTCGCCACGCTTTTGTATTCGCGCTTAGTCTGATATCAGATAAAATTCAAGTTGTTGCGTCTTATTCCCTCGCGCCGCGCGGAATATAATTGATACGTCGTCGTTGCGCCCCGCATAGCAACAGCTTATACGAGCTCGTATATACGCCAAGTTTTTGCGAGCGTCCGCCTTTTCACGGGCACGCTTTTCTGTGCAGGTGCTGGGCAGGCAGCAGTACATCGTGCGACCGATGGTAATGGAGGAGAGTTGCACGCCCGGGACCGGCAGCGACAACCCAGCGATTGCCGGAAGTAGCGGGATCATTAACGAGGCCGCGCTGGCACACGCGCCAGCCTTGACCGAACGAAACCTCCGGGAGTATGGAATTCCTCTGCAGCAAGCTATCGAAAAGGTGCTTCTCGTATATATCGACGATTATCTCCCGCGGCGAGAGAAGACTTTGGACTATCAGATATTTATTGAGAATTTTATTTAAAAATTATGTAATATTGGTTGTTAGAAATGCTCGACAAATAGAAATGTCCATTCATTCTAGAGATTTACTGAGAGAAAGTTAATAGGAGAAAAGTTCACTTACTATTATTATTTACTTATTGAGAGATAAAGATATGAATTTTTCATGAGTCTTCAGTTCAAAGATAATCCCTTGAACTTTTAGGATAAGTATTTTTTTTGCGTAAAAAATGTAACGTTTTTAAGCCAAGGCATCAATAAATCAAAAAATTGCCAATAATCTAAAAATTACGAAATATTTTGAAAACTTAAATTTTAAATTGGAAATATTATCTTTTAAAGCTATATTTACATATCAATGATATGATTGTTGGGATTTGTCGCGTGAATATTCCTCAACGATATTCTCAAGAGATTGACATAACAACGATAAAATTAATTTAGTCTCACGTCCAATAATGACGACGTCTTGTTTCTGTTTCAAGTTTGAGTCTTGGTGGAGCTCCATGCCTGGCGTAACTTCCGGTATTAAGCCGCGATTTGTCGTGGACGGCCAGGCGCCGATGAGGCAATGCCTGCATCCGGAGGCCTGTAATAAGGACATCGAGCTACCGGAGCATTACAATTACTTCCACGATCTCCGGAAGGACTTTGTAGAATGCTACTCGTCTCACGGGGAGTTATCGACTCTCGGAGTGCAAGAGATGTTGCAATGTATCCTTTCACGCATTTATGTAAAAACTGCCATCAGTCGTCAAGCTGACCTCGTCATTGCTTACGTACGTTTACCAATTTTCGTATCTTTTTACACACCTAAACATTTACACAAATATTTTTAGTCTTTCTTCGATTTGTAATGTTAAATTTGACATCGGTGCCACTATGTGTAATTAATTAAACGATAGCATTTATTCTCATCCTTTACGAAAATTTAATGCTGGAAGGTAGTGATTAATTATTTATTTTGAGTATTAAGAGCATTGAACAGTATAATACTTTTAATACTCAAAATAAGTAATTTTCAATATTAAATTAGCCAGTATTAAATTGAATTTCTGTAAGAGATATATCAAAATTTTATCAGGATTTTTTAAATCCTGATAAATTTTCTCTTGGATTTCAGAGAACATCAAATTGTGGAAGGGGGGGGGGTATATCAAATATAGAAATTTCAATTACTAGTTTTTTGAATCCGTTGCTATTCTCGGACAACAATTGTCTCCGAAAAAATTTTTTTTTGCTTTCCATCGCTTCTCGATTAAATTTTCGATATTTCTATCGAAGATCGGCTATAAAATGGTCGAATGAAATCTTTACTCGAGACGGTCCCTACTTCGAAGCGTGCCATGCCAGTCAAGGAATCTCTCACATGGTATTGTATGCTAATGCAATGAACACGTCCTCGCCGTATGGTGTACCGGTAACGGTGCTCGGCCGCGGAATGGTATTGCAGTCTCGTGTTTGAACTCGAGCGCCGTAACACCGACATGGTCACGTCTCTCGGCGAAGAAATTCACCCACGTGTCCGTGCCGCTGGCGAATTTCTACGTCGGGGATCTTCGCGTCGCATGGCCGTCAGGCGGCGCGATGGAAGTCGGCATGAGACACACTCGAGACGCCGATCCCCGACGACGACGCGACACCGATCGTCTCCCAAAGCGGAGTCAGTAGCAAGTAGTCTCCGCGGTTGTGCGGAGTGTACGAGCGCACGTGTCGTGAACCGCCGCTGCCGTCCGCGTCCGAGTCTTTCGAGCGGCGATTGTGACGAATCCTCCTGCTGTCTCCGGCCGATCGCGCGAATTGACCGAATTGCCGCAGATTAGATCAGAAAAGATTAGATCGAACGGAGGGAAAGAAAATTGGAGCCGTGCGAGCAGTTGCAGTAATCGTTCCTCGGAGTGACGGGACTCTTCTTCTCGGGCTCAACCCGCGTGCGCTTTAAATCGCTTGGAATTAAAGTCGCGGACAGGTATGTTTTCGTTCCGCATCTGCCTCCAGGCCGGTGTGCGGAGGATAGTTGAAAACAGCTGGACGTTAATTGCATTCGGCGAGTCATTTGAAAAATAAGATTCCGTTATCTGTCGACCGCTCTTCAAACTTGATACGGAAAGGTCTCTTAATCCCGCACATTGAATAACGTAATTAAATTAATCAATCACGATTTTTATTTATTTTTAAAGGTGACATTTGACTCGATAGGAACGTCTCGCGGTATCGCCCTCTCGTTTTTTATTCGCGGAATTGAAATTTATTTCGAGGCTAACAGCAAATAATAGGGCGAATAGTCTGCTCGATTCATCCCAAGCAGAAGAAAAATATCATAATGGGACATCAAAATGGGGCTTCAAAATAATTATTAAAAGTCACTTTGTCAAATCAGTCACGAGAGATTCATTTTAACATCATTTTAACGTTATCGCGGTCTGCTTGGGATTTAATTTTTTTATGACAATAAACGCGGGGTTACTTTGCCCGATGTGGCACTTCCGTTCGTAATGGAGATTCGAATCGCAAAGTTGAGATTTCTTGTACCATGAAGTGTACAAAAAGTAACAGAGGTTCCCGAACGCGAGACAGGATCGTTCATCTTAAATCCGATCTTGATTCGAATTCACGTCGACTATATACCAATCCTCCTTTTATATCCAGCATGCGTCGCGCCGTATCTACCTGGCACTAATAAAACAAGACCACCTGCGCCGTCTGAGACACATGTGTACGAATATGCACGTATGCATATCGATCGGCTCACCGTTCACCTGTTTCAATGCGAGTCGCGCTCGAGATTAGCGCCGGTTTTCTACATTCCGCTCGCAGAACATGCGTGCGCGTATATTCACATATGCGACGTTTGCACATTCGGGATTTGATTTATCGTCATTTATCGGCGGGAATCTGCCGTAGACTTACAGCCTCTTGTATCTGTCAGTGTAATATAAATATTAATGTTTAAATGTTATTCAAACACATTCATTTAAAACTCTCTTGTAAAAATATTTTTCTTGATAATTATGAACTTGTGATATTATCGGAGATTTTTTGCTGCCTGTTTTTATCTAACCGATGCTAGCTTAACGAAATAGTATCATATCACGTCTTTTTACTACTCCTAATCTCGGTTAGACTTTCGAAATTGTCACTTGGCATGTCAGTCCCCCCGATGTCGGATGCTGATAAGAATGAATGTGTTATTAACCGCAAGTGTAATATTCATTGACATTTTTTTCTTATGTTTGTAGTTTATATAAAAAAAAACGAGAATCAGAAATGTAAAGGATTATTTCTGATGCATACTGTCTCCCAGTTTTCAATATCGAAGTCTAATCCTCTATCTTATCGGCATTTCTAGTGCGTAGCAGAATGAACATCTTCGAAGTAGAAGAATCGCGACGATTCATTCAGAAGTCGACGCGAAATACCCTTCCCTCGTCTTTGTTAAAATTGCCGGAATGCAAACTTGATTCCTTCTCGCGTTTCTCCTTCTGCCGCACTTCGCGGGCACGGCACACGGGTCGTTTGTATCACGAGGAAAAGATCATGAGAAACGAGGGAAAAAGGAACGTCGCACTTTATGATCAGTAACGACCAGATGACTTGAGAAAGCCTGCGCGAGGCGATGCCGCCTTATCGGGACCGCGGTTTAAAGGTCAGTCCTCCGATGAAGATATCGGCAACGGGCCAGTAACGAGCGAACGTCACGTGCATATATATATGTATATGTATACATGTATATATCGCTCATTTGCTACAGCAACGATACATTTCAAAAATTGTCATTTTTTTAGTTGCTTGCAGAAAAAGAATGAAAACGTAAAAAAAACATATGTTAAAAGAACATACATTTTTTCCCTCTGTAATCAATTATTGCACTAAAATTGCATTTCAAAATTAATATTACAAATTTTAATGATTTTAAACGTTTAAACCCATTTTCTGGAAAACTTTGCTTCTTGAATTGTGTCGTTATTATACGAGCGATATATTATGTTTTTTCTTCCCTCGTTCCCTCGGCGGTTCTCGTTTCCGATTAGGTGTTGGATATTAGTCCCCGTACTGTCTGTAGTGATCCTGTCGTGCGGATCTACCTGGTTATTATGAGAGTACCCGTTCATTTGTAATTCGCAAATCACGGGATAACGCTCTTTGTATTGCTCGTTTACCTCGCGGTGTAATGTCGTTTACCAAACCGTATTGTTTACCCAGTCCGCTCCGTTCTTTTTCCACTCGTTCGAGTCTGGCACGCTCAAAGTCTCAAACTCACGTCGTACTCGCGGGAAATTCCATCCTGGTCGAATATACAATTTATTTTGTACTATGTGTTAATATTATTACGTTTTTATTATTTTTTTCTTTCTTTATTTATTTCTCTCTCTTTCAATAGCGTTATATAAGATCATATATAATCATTAGGGTTACATGCTGAGTGGCACCGATGTCATTTACAATCAAGAAGTTGTGTCATGAAAAAAGGAGACTGCATAAAAGATACGAAATTAATTACATGAATTATCTTATATTCTCAGATGGTTTCAAAAATCCTATTTTTCCAGATTGTGACTTTGTACGCTCTCTAAAGTATTCTTGAAAGAAACGAACACGAGTCTCGAGCTGTTGCGAGCCATTCAAAAACTATTCGATTATTCATTTTTTTTTTCACCGTAAATTTCACAATCGTATTGGAATATGTGCTATTTATGAATAATTAATTTACTTCAGCTCACATACCAAAAAGGGACTTTTAGTGTACAATATGAAATATTGCTTAAGTTTGATAATTAGAAAAGAGACGCGTGAGACACGCTTGAAAGTAAAAGCCGCGTACCGGTTCTATTAAGTTTTGAGTCAACGCACCGCGCAAAGATCGCAAGAGCTCCGATTTAGAATCGCCCTTCGAACTTCATCCTTCTTACGGACTTGTTGACAGCGCGAACAAGTCGTTCAGCTTGTCAGCATTACGATATCTATCAATCTTATCGAGTAGATTTCTCCTTGACAGTTAAGAATCAGATTTTGGAATGCCGCCAGATACCGACAATGATTTTCACGTCAAAGAGATACAGGACATGGTCAACGTGATACAGAGGATGATCAAGGACGGTAAGCTAATAGAATAATCAAGATTACTGCAGCTGTGACACGCGTGTCTATCGACCGTTGTCGAGGAATGCGCAAAGAAAGGCACATCTATATCTCGAAATTTCTTAGGAAAAAAAAAGAAAGAAAAATTCACAATTGGTAACGTATAATTTCGAAGATCCAGAATCTTGTCAATCTTCTGAAAAGAATTGAATGGAGAAAGGGCTCGTGTTTGGTCCTGAAAAGTGTCTAGACTCGGCAGCGTCGAGAGTTATTTTTCTTTTCGCTTCTATCTCTCTTTCTCTCGGTCGTGAGAGATAAGAATTCTGCATGAGCTACGTGCGTGTAAACACACGCGCACGGTGTAACGTTTCTGTACGCATTTCTCCAAATAATATGCAGTGTGTTTACGTCTGATGGCGATGGCCTTGGAGGTCGCGATTGCGACGCTGATGAAGTCGCTCTCGTCAAAGAGTCACTCTCCTTTCAAGAGCTCTCTCTCTCTCTCTCTCTCTCTCTCTCTCTCGCTATCTCTCTCTCTTTGGAATTCTCCGATCTCGCGAGAAGTAGCGTTTTCTTGAAATCTCGCATTCCCGATACATTAGACGGAGCTCCTTCGAATTTCGAAATTTGGTGGTTCTTGCCCGATTACATTCTCCTGCATGGACAAACACATGCACACTCTCTTTCTTTCTAGTCGCAAGCGAGCGCGGGTCAAGCCACGCAACGTTCTAAGCAGCGTAGCGGCTCTCTTATCACAGTGACACTCAACCTGCGGAAAGTTACATTGGTATAGCTAATACACGCGCGTTAACGCGATAATACGTACGCGAAGGGAAAAAAAGAAGAGACGCGTTGCGCTTTTGACATCGCTCGATCTTTCAATCTGCCCTATTGGCTGCTACGCGTTTAACTGCTAGAGCTAGATTAAATTCAACAGCTTCTCTACAACTGAATCTTCACAATTCGGATTATTTTCGTTATAATTATCGCGAATTCGTCGCGTGACAATTCAAAAGAATATTTGCAAAATTCTTAGTTTCTTCCAAATTACAAAAGAGAAAAATATTTTCTTATAGGTATGATTTATACTGATACTTTTTTATTAGCTACTAGTTTTCTGGTTCGTCGAAAGACTGGCAAGCTAATTGCCGGCATCGAAAAAAGCATCGTGTAAATCAGTCGTCAAGAAACTTTTTGGAATCCGTATTTAGATAAGTGTCATGTATGACGGTATTTTGGCAAGATACCGTTTTTCTTTCCGAGTATTTCAGAAGGTATGCGCGAAGCCATTCTCTCGGGATAAACGAGGAAACGATGATCGTTTCCACGCGCATTCCGCACAAAATCGGATTTTCTACTTGTCGACGGTGCACATTTCGCCGAGACCGCGAATCGAATCGTGCAAGTATGAGAAATCGGAGACTAACTGGCGGATATAAGGTTACGGAGAGGAAACGCATAAGCGCAAGTTTAGAAGACATTGCATATTGTAGTCGATACGTGCTGGAGTTTTTGCGAAGCAGTCCCGGTCATTTTTTTTTTTCCTCGTCAAAATTTTGATCTCCCGTTGGGCATGCGCGAATTTACTTACGGTCTACAAATTGTAACGGGCGAGATTATGCAGAGCATAATGTACTGAAGTGTTGTGAGAATGGCAGAATATGACACTACTGTTTTCTTGACCAAGCTTTATTCAGGCATCATAGCAATGCGCTGAGTCGAAGATTCATTCACTACGAGTTTCTAACGAGAATTGAGCTTGAGCTCAAGGCGGATCTTCGCTTAATAAGCAGAACGGTTTATTTTAATAATCATCGCCAAATAACACGACGTGTCCTACAATCAAAAATAAAGATTAATTCGATTTTTTTTTAAAGAGACAGAGAATTTCTAAAAAATGAGATAAGAATTAAGAGTCAGTAATCGAGAAAAATGCAACAGACAGAAGTAAGTTTTATCATAGTTATATTAAATGATTTCGAGAAGAAGTTAAGAAAGTATTTCTTAACTTGTATTTCCCATCAAAATTACAACAGGCAGTCCATAATGAAAGATATATGATGAAAAATATTTGTTAGAAAAATTATTTCAGAAAATCTAGAATATCGATAATCTAAAAATTATACGCGCAAAATGAATTTTGCAATCTTTGCAAAATTTATTTTTGACAGATTTTGACTTGTCAGTGTCTTGATAATCCTGGAGAACAGGAAACATTTATTTGAGGATTCCGCATTGTCGCATTTTTTTTTTACGTTTTTCGCATGTCATATGCAACGCTAGACCGCACGCCCAGTATTAAGAATGAGAGGAGAAGAAAGAGGAGAGGAAAACGGGTACAGAAAGTGCAGCTGGTGAAGTCAGGCGTGTGTCTGCCTACGTGTTAGCCGGTATGCAGCGTGGCCGCGTGGTATCAGTGATATGCGTGATGTTTACACGCATCGTGTCTCGTAGTCGTCCCATGCTTTTCCATGGGTAGTACGTGCCTCACGGTTTAAGACTTACTTCCAGACTTCCTTGGTATGTTCTGTGCTTACTTCGACGCGGTCCCCAACTCCGACGCTTCGATGATCGCGTTTGTCGAGGACCGAGGTAAGACCGTTCGAAAAACATCCTTGCGAATGAATCTCAAATCGATCGGAGAACGCTCGTTTATTGATCTCTCTGAGATTAAATCATCTTCGCGCGTGTGTACGCTCCCTCCGCGCTTCTCCCGATCGTTTCGCTCTCTTCCTTCCTTTTCTCTTCCGGATTTATTCGTTTTACATTAACATTCCGATTTCCATCAATGTAGATTAATCTTGGGTTACTTACTCATCCTTTTTCTAGTTTTACATTCATTTTTATCAATGTGTATAGATTAACTTTAATCTCAGTTTTAATCTATTCTTTATTTCTTTTTCTAAGAATTTCTTTTTCTAGTTCTTAGAAAAAGAAATAAAGAATAGATTAAACCGAGATTAAAGTTAATCTGTATTGATAGAAAGGAACTAAGAATTACAAGAAGATAAAGAGTAAGACGTTGAACTGAGATTAAAGTTAATCTACTGATGGAAACAGGCATTAGGCACATGAGTGAAGGAGACACGTCACTTATATGTTACGTCACTTTAGAGTGCAGTTAACGAATATTCAATTTTTAATTAATATATGTTATATTATTATGACATGACCGATGTACAATTGTGTGTTAACTTTCAGGTCACATTTTCAAAAATCCCGAGGTGGTCAATATTGTTCTGGAACCTGGTATATGGTAAGTTTGCGAGTTGTATACTTTAAAAATTCTTTCTAATTATTTGTACATCCGATAATCCGTCCTTCAACGAGACACAAACTTATCTTTCAGCTCCAAGGACGAGGAGGTGGACAATGACTGCGTAGTGAGAGCACGCGGTCTCCCCTGGCAATCCTCAGATCAGGACATCGCCAAGTTTTTTCGTGGGTTAAATGTTGCCAAGTAAGTGCATCTCCCCTTGAGATACGTTAAGTAAAAAATCAAATATATTTATTACCAACTAACGGGAGTTTTCTCGAGTAAAACAAATTAATTGTCTCCTAACTGTCTTTTGGTATTTATGCACAAGCCACGTGGATCTGTGTGAAGCAGGTAATATTGAGATAGCTGTACTCCTATGACGCACTTAGACGCACAGATTCTGTCTCGTTTTTCTAGTTTTTCTCCTCCGTGACATAACATAAGTATGATCCGTGGAAATGGATTTCTTACTTCGCTTTATTAGTTGTTGTACATAGTGACTAGCATATTATATCTGGAATCGTGGATCTTGTCACGCTATATGGATTTGTAACTGCGATTTTGAAGTTTTTAGATTTTTCTCGTAGAGCAAGAGAGTCCTTAATAATCGCGTTTTAATAATTGTCTTTATGAAATTCTCTAATGTATTGTAATTAGAGGAGTCGCTGCGCGACGATACGTATACAAGCTAACAATGGTGTAATAACTTTTTTAGGGGTGGTGTAGCTCTTTGTTTAAGTCCTATGGGAAGGCGTAACGGCGAGGCATTGGTACGGTTTATTAATAAAGAACACAGAGACATGGCGCTGAAGCGGCATAAACATCACATGGGTACACGATACATAGAGGTTTACAAGGCCTCCGGCGAGGATTTTGTTGGCGTTGCTGGTGGTACGAGCGGGGAGGCGCACGCTTTTCTGTCACGCGGGGCTCAAGTCATCGTTAGAATGAGAGGCTTGCCGTATGATTGTGTTGCTAAACAAGTGGTACATAATTGTTTAATTTAAGATCCTATTTTGCGTATAACGATAACGAGCTTCTCGATTATACGTATATCGTCTATCATTTTTTCTATTGTACACACTGCGCGGTAATTTTCTCAGCTGGAATTTTTTCAATCCGGACAAAAACCATGCCAAGTGCTGGACGGCGAGGACGGCGTGCTGTTTGTAAAGAAACCGGATGGTAGAGCAACAGGTGACGCCTTCGTGTTATTTGCGAAGGAGGAGGACGCGGTGAAAGCCTTGAGCAAGCACAGAGACTGCATCGGCAGCCGTTATATAGAACTTTTTCGAAGCACAACCGCGGAAGTGCAACAGGTAGAGATTTAAACGTAAATCTGAATTGTAGAAGGTACGTGCATTTTTATCCAAATTTTTGATTTTTTTGTTATACATAGGTCCTAAATAGGGCGACAGATCCGAAACAGGTAATACTACCACCACCGCCTATCACGCAACTTCCACCCTTACTTCCCCAGCATATCATTACGTCCGGTACGCGCAAAGATTGCGTTAGGCTTCGTGGTTTGCCGTACGAGGCACTCGTCGAACACATTTTGGAATTTATGGGTGAACATTCTAAAAATATCGTCTATCAGGGTGTTCACATGGTTTATAATGCTCAGGTAGACATCAATTAATCATACTTGTACGCGGATAATTATTTATATTTTCTATTTTTTTTTTTTTTCGAATCTCCAATTTTGTAATACTCATCAGGGCCAACCGTCCGGCGAGGCATTTATTCAGATGGACAGCGAGGCATCGGCATACGCGTGCGCGTCGCAACGGCATCATCGGTACATGATCTACGGCAAGAAGCAGCGGTACATCGAAGTGTTCCAGTGTAGCGGCGACGACATGAATCTGGTATTGACAGGTGCGGTAACACCGCCGTCGACCAAGGCGCTACTATCACCCGGTACGTTGACCACACAGTCCCCCGCGACCTTGACACATCCGCCTGCGCCAGCACCGGTGCCGGTGCCGGTACCGACCGCGCAGCCGCCGCCACCGCCGCCGCCCCTGTGGGACATTCACGCTCTGGTACAGGCCCAAGCCGCTCAGGCGCAGGCTCAGGTGGCGCACGCGCAGGCCGCCCAGGCGCAGGCTATCAGGAATCAGGATCTATGGCTGATGGCCCTGGCGTCGAATCCGTCTCCTACCTCGACCACTCCCTCACCCACCTCGGCAGTCGCCGCCGCCGCCGCTGCCGCCACGAGCAAGTCTCTAGCTCTCTCGGGTTCGAATCCGATGGCTCAGGCGGCCCAGATCCCCGCTGCCTATACGATGGCATCCCCGACGGCCGCCGCTGTCGCCGCGGCTTTCCATGCACAGCCGACGTCTCCGGCAGCAGCGGCGGCGGCTGCGGCAGCCGCGGCGGCTACGCCGTTTTTGTTCTTCAACGTTCCCCATCATCATCATCATCATCCCCGTATTCCTATTCTGCACCGGGCACCGGCGCCGCATGGGCTGTTAGCGCCTATCATGCCCACCGCGCCGACCTTGAACCCGGCCGCGCTAATGGGCTTGAAGCGAACGTGGGATGCCGCCTTTCCCGCCGACGCGACGACGAGTACCGTCGCGAAACGTACGGCCTGGCACGCACCAGCGGCGGCGTTTCACGCGCCAGCCCCGACCCCGGGCTTGCCTTACCCAGCTCAGTTCTATCCTCAGATCTGATGCGCCGTCGCGTCGATCTCTTAGAGCCCTCGTTTTTATAGACTCTTTCCTCGGGATTCCCACGGTGAGGAGAACGGAAACGATTGCCTCGGGTTTTCCCGCTAGACGAGCAAGAAATTTGTTATTCGCGCGAGAGTACGCATGCTACGCGGGAATCGCCGTGTTACCGACAATACGACTTACTTTTGACGGATTTATGTACATTCTTAGCGAGTAAGCGTTGTAATTATTCGCGACTGTCTATGACATTCCGTTTTTCGTATTCCAAGTGCAAGTCTGGCAGAACGTCAGTTTACAACGTTTGTCCGGCTGACAAAGTGTACCTAACCGTTTTGGGAATGCTTGGTACAAATTCGGGCGTTACTTACACGACGGTACTTAACTCGCAAGACAGTTTATTTTTTTCCTATCCTAATGCACTTAGGCAGCAAGGTTAATTTCGGTAAGCATGTTAATTATAATGATAGCGATATAAAAATTCCATTTGTGGCGTGCGCACATACTTTTTTAATCGTGTGTTCACAAAGTACGTGTGGAAGATCGCGTACATACGGAAAAAACGTTCTTCCACGTAAGCGTAATCAAGTGCCTTATCTAATGCAATGTGAACACCAAGTACTTTGCCTAGCTCTCAAAATTTTATGATCGATACACGCTCCCTTATGTATATATTTATATATATACAAGAGCGTTTCAAAATTATCACTATTATATTAATGTATACCGCAGATTAATCCTGGATTTTACCGATTAGGAACTGTTTGAGACATTAATATTCTCCAGGTATTTTTTTTTACAGATGTTTTCCTTGATCAAATGTTAAAGTCTGTTATTCTTTCTTTCAAAATAATCATTGTCAAATTTTGTTAATGTAATATATGATTTCATCAATACATTGCTGCTATATTTTGTATTTTATTGATATTTTTTAAGCAACTTTAGTTGTTTATGACTTTAATGTCTGATGTCTCACTGTAACATCTGTGAAAAAATGCTCAACGAGAATGATTTTTGTCTCAGCAAAGAAGCCTGCAAGTTGGTATTATCAGAAATACCCACGTTTATATATACATATATATAAATAATTTATATATTTTGCTAGAAATATTTTATTAGTAATTAAGTGTAAAATGGACATTCCATCCAAAATGTTATATATTCTAAAGTTCTAATTCGGACGTATATAGTTGATTCTTTTATACGTGGCATCTATCTACGTGCATGTATGTTACAATCTATATATGTAAATAAAATTTCGTCACTAATTATCTGCGAACGTATTACACAGTTCGCTCTTAATTGGCTTCGTCGCGGATCTCTTTGCCGTCTGTCTTCTTCTCTCAAGGATTGTAACATGCAAGCTTTGATTTAAAATACTAGAAAGTTAATATATATATATATATGTGTGAATCACACAGTCCCTATAACAAAGCACACGCAAGATCCGTTTTGCTCTGTTATTTTATATTTGGGGAAAATCGCGCGCATATATACACACGTACACACACCTTCGTACCACATAAGCGTTCACTGCATTTAGTACAATATCGTCAATAATCCACGCCTATCTTACACTGATGTGATCCAGCACTAATTCTATCGTGTGTGACGGATAATATCTTAGTATATATCGAGTATGTGCATTAATAATAATCGGACCCTTTGGTTTTGGAGAGTATCCGATATAACGGGGGAAGCGAAGAAAAAAAGGCGAAATTATAAAAAAAAAGAACACGCCGTCTCTGTATTACGCTCTCGCGGCTTGTGATTTAACTGTGGTGTCGGCGGTATTTACTCTTTCAAAGCTGGCTTACGGCCTAATACCTTTTTGTGATAGTGTAGTTGGTGAGATCGCACACACTGAAGACGGATAGGTAGATTGGATAGGTAGATTTGGTGTACCAGGGAATCGAGTATCGGCTACGCCGAGAGGATGCGGAGCTCGTACGAGGCGCTTGTACTCTCGCAAGAAGGTGGCCAGATACTTCACGCACTGCCACGCCAATTAAACGGGCTTCCACTAATTCGCAAACGAACCGCGAGGAGAGGAGAGCCGGAGTCCTCTCGGCGAAGTCGATCCTCGAGTCTGTCGCGCGGATCGCGAAGTGTTGTTTATGGTAATTTCATTTCTTCCTCTTGCCACGGTTTTTTTTATATACATATATATGTGTTGTTAGAATATAATGGGGAACATTTATAGCTATATAGACACAAACACACGGTCATGAATTTGCTACTTCACGCGGATACGCGAAACCGATTCTGGTTTGCATGCCGTGTGTGGTTCCGTGGAGGAGGGATACGTAACTTTCCTCCGCGAGCGCGATTGCCTAACGGATCCGATCTTTTCTCTTTCTTTTTTTTCTTTTTTTTTCCGCCCCTCGTTTACACACACGGTTACATATATCGTATCCGGTAAACTGTCCCTGTCCGGGCGGTGTGTTTCATTCACCGACAGAAAAAAAAAAAGAAATGTTCCTCTCACTTCTTTCTCCCGAGCCACCTCGCAACAAATTTTCCATTCACCTTCCCTTTTTTCATCGCGTGATCCCTATAATTATCCGGCCACTTTTCGTACGCGACAGTAACAGCACCACCGGTACAAAATCAGTCGCAGTAGAGCATCTTGATATAATCATTTCCATCCTGTCATAGCGGCCGCAGTAAAGTACCTGTTATTACGCGTTATTGAACATTCTTGATCCGGTTCTTGGTATTAATAACGTAACTGTTCGAGAGGATAATTTACTTGAAGATAATTGAGGGTCGTTTGGAAAAAAAAAGGAAAGAAAAGAAGGAACGAACAGTCGGGAACACAATTGCACGATAAACGCTCGTTCATTTAATCTCGGGACGCTACAGGTGAGCCGATACGAATTAATTATGATTTTGCAACGGTAACTCGTTTCCATAAAATGAGAGAGACAGTCGACAGAGAATATAAAAGTCTTCGACGGCGAAGACGCAACGCGATTATACCCTGCGTTCCGAATCGGCGTCCTGAGATTAAAGAATCTGAGAAGGGCGGGAGGGAGGGAGGACGTGCATTTCTCTGACATCTTTCTAAAACGTCGGGAATTGTATCTTCCGACTCGGTCGTAGCATTAATTGATATTATAAAGAGCGAGATACGGCGAGACGACGTGAAACGGACCGACGTTGACCATTCCCGGACGTCGATCGTTCATCGCGCTTATATTACTTATTATCACTTATCACATAGACCATTACGGACGAGCGATCGGCGAGGAGAACGATGAGAATACGGTGTGCCAATCGGTCGGTGCCTTTCGCGTCGTCTCCGTCTAGGGGTGGCATCTCCGGAGTGTTGTAGCACAAGTGTATATCGAGAGCGTGAATCCTAGCGTAATGACAACGCGAACTTAAAGAAAAATTCCATCATCTTCACGTTTCTTCATCCCATTGAGATCTCTTTCTATCTTTTCCCTTCCTCTCTTCCCCATCCGAGAAGACATAGGACACACGCGCACGGTATACATGTGTTTATCCATGCATACGCACACTTTTACACACACACATACACACGCGATATAATCTCTCTTTTTTTTTTTACTTCCTGTATACACTCTCTGTATATCGACGATTTTTATATCGACGGTGAGAACGATCATGTTTAATAAATGTGCCTTGTGGATATATATATCTTTTTGCTTGCCGGGTTGGTGGACTCTTACCCTGATTTATATTACGTCGTACTCGATGGTTGCATTCTTCGCGCCCGATCCCGTTGCGCCGTCTCGCTCTTCGCGCCTCTCTCGAGCGAGGCGAAGCGTGATTGAGTTTTAAGGACAAGACGCGCGTGTCCTCCATAAAACGCTCGGATTTGCAAGATTGCCGTGATTCTTCGTTTTTCGGAGGAGAAACCGTTGAAGATTGCAACCACCGCGTATCTTGTTGCGTTCTATACATTTTTTTTTTCATTGGGCTCACAGGTATCTTTGGTATCTACAGATCAAGTTGGAGATTTCTGTGTCGTAACTCTTAGCTCTCTCTTTCTCTCACTCGCCCTTTTTGTTTTTTTGTTCTGTCTTTTTTCCTCTCACGTAAAATTCTCTCTCACTCTCTCTCTCTCTCTCTCTCTCTTTCCTCTCTTCTCTGTTCGTTTCTCTGACATTTTGTGAATCTTCCCTTCTTTCTATCTCCTGGAAGATTGATCTTTAAGTGTGTCTCTCCCATTTCATGATTACTCACTCTTTCGAGATTTGAAATTCTCGATTTATTCAAATCTATCAAAATTATTTTTCAATGTGGCCAATACTTACGAGCCGTTGCTTTTTGCTATGCCGATCATCCCGGTTTATTAGAGACTAATCTATAGCGAATCTACTTATCTTCCTCCCATCGTGCCACACGTTTCCCCTTGTACGCCTGCAAATGGCCTAATGCGATACGAATCCAGTTGAATTGTGCGAAATGTACGGCTTGCCATCCGTGTCATGTCTTTGCTCAAGTTAAATTTATTCAAATAATGGAATAGAATACGAAATAATTTGATCAAGATAATCGCTTTGTATTATTTACTATTCATTTTTCAGAATCTTTTAAATGTCTCTTAAGGATAAGTGGCACGCATGTGAGCTGTACTTTTGTCACAAAAAAGCACACGCAAAAAGGCTTTTTCGCTGGGCAAGGGAGAGAGAGAGAAGGAAATGAGAGGGGGAGAGAGAGAGAGAGAAGAGAGCGAAAGAAGGAAAGGAAGGGTAGAAGGGGTGAGAAAAAGAGAGTGAGAGAGTGAGAATCTGCGTGTATCTGGTGATTTGGCAGAGGGGCGAAATCGCAAGTTGGTGCTGCATTACATATTTTATATATATACATATAAAAAGGATATACATTATATATCGTGTTACAATGGTGCAGTGTCGATTGCTGTTATGGTAGCGGGACTACAAATACTAACTTCTGTGCTTCCAGGTAGGCCAAGTCCAAGTCATTATTCCTTTGGATGACTGCGTTCTTTGTACGTTTTGAGCAGTACGTGTGATCGCGCACGGGGAGATTATTTCTCGCAAAGATCTCATAATATAGTTTTATTAATATTTTTAAAACAAATAGAATGAAATAGAATGACTTTTGAATTTCAGGCGTGAGGACTGGATTGTCGTTTAGTTTAAGAATGACTGACATATAAAATATATCAGGCAAATACGGTGCCCGAAACGTACAAGACCAGTCTAATTGAAAGTGAAATCGTGCAGCGTGCGAAGTTAGAATATCTTAGTGGTTGTTTCATTAAAAAGAAAAAAAAACAAACTATCCCACTAATTCACTTTCGATAGTGCGAACTACACGCTGTTGATTATGGTCGACTGTATACTGGCGCAATACTAAATGAGAACGCTTTGTGTGCTTCTAGAAAACATCTCTGCGGATCTGCACGATGTCACTCGTCGTGGTAATTGTGGAGTGGTTACATAGTGGGCACTCTTCTTTACGTTTGTACATACATAACGGACGATCGTGGGTACTGCGAGTCCCTTTTTTTTTCTTGTCAATGAATAAATTAAGCTCAAGTCCGCGACATTTACGATTCGCGAATTCGCAGTGGATCCTACAAGCATGACCGCTTCTTGTTTTCGCTCGTGTTGATCTTAATTAAGCCGGCCGACCGGATCAGCCTAAAGAACGTTGATTATCGTTTTCTTTCTTTCCTCCTTAGGGGGCACGATGTTGCCACCACCGCCCGTAGCGATATTTCCGCCTGCGGCCGCGATGTTGCCCCGCGGCCCGCCGCAATTCGCCACGCCGTATCCGCCGCCCATCTTCTACTGGCCTTACCCCTCGCCGCCGGTTAGTCCGACCAATTATTACACCCCCGCGAGCGTCGGCGGCATCGCACCGATTCCTCAGCAAGCTGCTCTGGTGAGTAAAAGGCTCGTGTCTTCTCGAAATCGTCCCTCGCTCCAGCGAGGCGAGAAAAAAGCAATTCTATCATTTATCTGGCTCTACTTATTTTTCTAAACGTTTCCAATGAAAGGTGTTAATTGTATGTCCAGCGTCTACAAATTAAAATTAAAGTTTAAATTAAAATTACTAAGAGCTTCCAAAATAAAGGGTCAGTCATTGTTGTACTTTTCATGACAAGAAACTGTGTGTCCAACTTGTATTAACTTACTAACGATTAATTATTTTACGTTTTTCGCTCTTAGCGATTATACTAGATAAATTGTGTGACCACAGTTGGCGCCAGCTGAATGTCTGCAATTAGCACCCGGTGCAACGACGCTGCCGACGTCCACGGCCACGGGACCGGACGCCCGTATCGACGCGTACCTACCACGAGTGGAGCTGGATAAACGCATGGCCGCGCTGCCACCGCCGCAGACCGAGTGCAATCCCTTCGTTGAGGTTTTCATGGTTTGATCTCCTCGGCCGGATCCTTCTTGCCTTCTTGTCCCGGTTCCTTGCCTCGATAGACACGCGATCCTGAGTAGTCGGCGAGACGAGCGGTCGAGACCGCTCATAGAATCGACTAGAACGGGATATCGCGTGAGAAGGGGCCGTTGTTTCAGGGGCACCCGCGCGAATCCTTGACAGAACGGTCCTCGTCCTCGTCGATGTTCGACGGGGCCTAGCAATATTTTTCGACGCGACAATTTTTCGTACGCATCGCGTACGTAAACTTAGACGTACACGGCAAAGTGCAAATGCAAAGGTGTAATTTCTCCACCCTCCGCCCCTTACCCCTACGCGTTTTCTCCAAAGGAAATCACCCCCCTTCTCTCGTAAATTTCCGACGCGCCGGCCGCGAGAGCGACGCGTTTCTTTCTAGTCTAGAGATAGATAGGAGCCGTTGTGGCGCGATGCACAGCGGCGTCGTTTCTTTCTCGTCCGATTTGTTCCGATTTTCCCTCCCCTGGAATGAGACGAACCGCGTATCGCGTTCTCCTCCATTTAATCCTCCTTTTTTTTTGCTTTATTTCTTTTATTACGTTACACTCTTATCATTTCCGTTGCAACGACGTTGCAAATTGGACTTCGATCCTCGCCCGTACTTTTGCCCGCGTCGACTTGGAAGGGCTTGCGGAATAGATGAATTATGAATATATGTACATATATATTCGAGCAACGGATTTGCACGTGTCTCGCGTGCTCTTATATTTTAGATATACAAATTACGCATTAAATAGATTGTAAATAATAATTATATTTACCGATCGCCGTGAACGATTGCATCGGATAATGTTTCAGGATGTGGCCCGTGCCGCGCACTCGCGTTTGCGATTATTGTCCAAACGCCGTCAGATTTGTATCGATTACCGCGGACGGTATTTAAAAAAAGATCGAGCTTGGAGTTACGTTGCGGGCTACGTCTCGTTAGTTTTTCCGTTTCTCAAATTTTACGTGTGACCTGTTTTACGACGATTACTTAATTTAATTTTTAAAGTTTTAAGATGAGAATTAATATATAACATGTATACATATGTTACATATGTATGTATATTTTTCATCGGTCGTTCGTCTCTCTCATCGTTCGGCCATAAATTGTTAAATTCGCATTGCGCTTTCCTCTTGTTTTTTTTTTCTCTTCAAACGTGCGTTCTCCATGTCTTTCAGTATACACGTATACGCTGTTAAACGACGACGTCTCGTTTCTCACGTTAAAACAGCAAATATTACAAAAGTCTTCCGTTAGTCTCTCGCCTCTCCTCGCCGAGAGCGAATTTCGCTGTCCCGTTCGTTCTATTCGAACCTAGAGATACATATCGACTCATATTAATCACAACGATCAGCACATATTAGCGTTACAGTTGACACTTTTACGATACGATATGTGTATAGGAGTATGTAGACGTAAGTGAAATATCCGTTCGGAACTTATAACTCGTTAAGTTAAAGAATACGGCCGCGACAGATTTTTAGCCGCCTGTATAGCTCAACTACACAATTTATATTTCGGATTCGTATATGGAATACGGGTCCGGTTGAATTGACACTTCGCCGAAGGCCGGTGTGAAATTCGATTATTTTCTTCCCCGCCTTGCGGAAGGTGACAATTGCGATATTAATTGCCGAGTTCAATTTTAAGTATATCGACACTTGCGTGTCAAAGCAAGTCCGAATTTAAGTCGTCAGATTTATTAGATCGTACGAATAAAGACGAAGGTTCTTTGTAGATGATTAAGAAAGGAAAATGTATCCTAAGAAGAATTATTCCTTCGAACTATGTACAATCTTCGCTTCAATGAAGCCTGCAATATTTGCTTGGAAAAATGTTTATATCATCGAGGCGGATAAAATCGTGTATAATTACGTATAGCCGACAATTTATTTCGCGATAAAGGTGATTATGGAGAAAAGAGATGTCTTCTCACGACCATTTTTCCATAGCTTCTCTTTAGCTACTTCACAATTTTAAATTTTAATCTCGAACGTAAATGATTGCTGGCGATGCATTTTTCGCTCGCCTCAACGTTTTTATCCGTGCGATCTACTTCGCTTCGCTCAAACGCAACGAAAGTAAACGAGATCGCGCGCGATCGGGGTTCGTCTGGCGCGCGTGATCCTTCCTCGCTCCTCTTCCTTTTAGTCCTTTATATGACAATTTCGCCGAACTTCGGCGCGCGCTTCGACGCTCCGATCCTTGACGAGCGCGATTTAGGCACGACCGTCGCGGCTCCGCGATTCGGATGCAGCCGCCGCATCCCTACCGGGGGGCTCAATGTTTGTCGTGCCGTCGTTACCGTACGTGTGATCACGCACGACTGGTGCAATAGTTGATAATCGTCTCGTGGTAAATTCGTGCAATAGAGATCAAGCAGGTGCGCCTCCGGTGCTGAGGAACGCTAAAACGGCTTTAGTCGAGGTTTAGTCTGGTTTGAAAAACCGCCGACCTTGCCAAGTGAATACTTTCCCCTTTCTCTCTCTGCGGCGTTGATATGTTATTTTATTATTGTATATAGATAATATCGAGATCTACATTTTATATATAAAAGGAAACTGTAGACAGTTCCCTTCACGAATAACTTGTCTGCCGTTAATAAAAACCACACAGGTGCAATACCTGGTTTATTTAAAATTGCACTGCGCGTTAACGCTGACAATTACGATCAAGTTATTTTTACTCGTTGCATACACGCGTCTCTAGTAGGTTGCGATAACGCGTACCGCTGTCCAAATGCATCCGTAAGCAACGGAGGTACCTGATTGGGCGATCTCGAAATGAGCCTTCTTTTATATATAGATATAATAGAAAGAATTGTATATATATACACATATATATACACCCACAAATGCACACCTATAAATTACATATCTGTAATATTGTAAGATTATACGCGTCTCTACCAGCCGAAGAAATGTTGCGTCGCGTCTCTCCAAAGGCGCGGAAATTGGAGAGTGGGAAGCCGTTTCGCTGATACGTAAGCCGCGTTGCAGCCACATCGAGTGTGGCACCGCGGAATTTCTTCGTCGATTAATTGTTGTCAGACGTAGAAAGAATCTCCCCCATGCCAATGTTCGTTTCAGCGGTCCGAGAAAAAAAAACGGCTGCGACGAATAGTAACCTGATATTTAATTATGTTATCTTGACGATATTAATATTAATATATTCGATATTGTTTTGAAGCGCTCGTTGTTTCCTTGCCGGAGGCATTTGTCCCACGTATCCCTTGGTGTGAAGCACTTTCTTATGGAGTCGCACTCTAAGCTCTGAGCTGTGACGTTAATTTGTTCTAAGCTTCAAACTTTACAGCTGGGATTTGGTCAACTCGTTTAAAATTTATAAGAGATTATGATTCAAAGCAAGAAACGCTTTTGTTTGCCAGAAAAACATCGCAAAGCTTAGAGTAAAATATCCATGGTTTACTACACCTGTTTTAGATCGGATCTAAAAGAGGGACAGCAATGTAAATGTAGTTTGACTGCGAAACTATTGGGTATTGTAATTGTCACGTGTGATCGTTTGGATTCGCTTAATTTATTTATCTTATTTCTGCAACATGTACATGAAAGGCAGCCTTATAAACATCAAATTCCATTCGCGCAAGGTACCTATGAGAGAATTCGTGGCACAATTAAGCTGATTAAAATCTTAATGAAAGTTACGTTGCAAATATTTAAATATATATTGCGGACGTTGTGCAAGAGTGCCTTCGCGTTCTGCTAATAGGTACGTGTATCACACATGCATATATATATATATATCTTCTCTTTCAAGAATATCCCCTTGGGGATTCTTTAGGCAATCTTTACATAGCGAAAGTTTTACTTAGAATTCTATTTATCGCGCACCTCGTAAAAAGGCGATTGATCGCTCGCGATCGCGCTAAAATCTACGTGTATGGACGGATACTTTGCTAAAGGCAGGTAATATAAAAATGTTTTCTCGATAAGAACAAGATCGGTGAGATCACCTTGCTTATGGAAACGGTAAGTCTATTTAGTATGTGTAAAGTTACCTCTGGGAAAGAAGGCGTTACGCCTCTGTGGCGAGTACAAATTTTTTTATCACGTCGTAAATGCTCGGATGTATCTTCGTGAAATTCATATTTTCTGCGTTGCGCTACGTCGAGTATTAGATAAATAGAGCGTACTTATTTACAGCTTAGCTTTATAACGTAGATACCCTTAAAGCAATTAATCACTCTATTAATACTCGCGAGAGTTAACGTACGGACGTTGGACACACTTGGCAGTGTAACACCGTGCATCCGCGATAGATTTTTGCCAACGGATCTGATAACTCCAACTTTTCTTGATGTTAGCAGATTAAAGAATAAACTTGTTCATTTTTTTTAATACTCTTAAATTAACAAGGAGAAATTTTGATCGATCTGACGTACACCTCGTTTGTCGAACAATGTCGAGCACAATGAGAGTGTCCAGTTAATCTAATTACGAATATGAGGTCTGCTTTTATTCTCACAGCTTTGTCGCAACAAGATCAACAACGAATTAATCAATCAATTAATTCTTTTTGCACTTTTATCGTTAATATTAATATACATCCTCCTTCCCGCCCGTCCTGCTTCCGACGATAAATATTTATCGTCGGATAATATTTATAACGTGTTGTATATCTCTAAATATTCTCTCCGTCAACTTATATGTATCAAAAAAATTTTTTTAACGTCTAGATTTTGATAAAATTGCTAAATACTTGTATCGTAGTCTTAACAATCGATTTACTCTCGCGGATCATCCGCGAGCCTTGTCTCCGGCGAGTCGCATCACTCTCAACGACGGTGTCGTTATTAACAGTCTATCAAATTAGCGGGTATTAGATACCGCTTGTGGACGAAATTGGAATTAAGTAACACGTGTCGTTGTAACAGTCATCCTCTTTGGAACACCTACGATTGCATGACGCAACAAGTTAACGCGCGTCAACTTCCGAGAATCGTTAACGGAAGATGAACTGAATCGAAAATATCGAGATCTTTAGGACGTCGTGTGAAAAAAAATGCGGTCCATTTTAAACATACATGCCAAACTATCAACGTTTTAGTAAAAAAAAATCTAACAGCAAAAACGTTGATATTATACGTAATGAACTCCCTCTCGCGAAGTCTTGACGGGGCGATTCCCATCGAAAATCTTGCGTGTCTGTACGAGTACTATGCATTTATCCCAAACACGGCTTGTCTAAGACTGACATACTTATTAATTGTATTTCAATCCGTCGCTATAAATAATTATTGCAACGTTATCTAACGTGTCGGATCAATGATTTAACGTTGTTTCACAACGTGACGAGACTCTCGATTTCTACAGCTAACAATGAGTTAGCGTTGTCCGCATCTTTGCTCCTGGGTTATTAACAACGAAGACTTACTGTGCGCGTACATTCCAATATTTAGTTTGCAATCATTGGAAATGGCACGAGTCGCTTAAATCGGCAGCATAATGTTACGAACGAGTGAAAATCTCTTATTGTGCGATAGCTGGCAGTGCTCGTCGCTAGACGTTTGGCACACGGCTTCGGCACTGTGCCCGGATTGTGGATAACGCTGGTCTAAGAGGTCGCGTTCCGAGAACTTTACATCGCCGTTTCCAACGGTTGACTCTTGCTTCGCGCGGCCGTCGACAGCTGGGTGAGTTCCGTGGGCTCGTTGACTAGGAACGCGTCCAGATTGGTTTCGAGCAGGACCTCGCTCTTCGAGCGCAGCGGCTTCTCCTCGCCCGTGTCGAAGTTGGTCTCCAGCAGCGTCTCGCTCCTGGGTCTACTCTCGGGCTCGTAGTGATAGGGGTGCGGCGGTACCGGCGGCTGGAAGTCCGACGCGTACTCCGGAACGGGCTCGGACGCCTGACTCGGCGTTGAGTCGTAGGCGGGTTTCATGTAATCCATGGGATCGTAACCGGCCGACGACGCCTCGATGTCGCGTTTCAGCTCGCTCATCGAGTCGGTGAGCGCAAGGCTGGAGTGGAGCGGCAGCGTGGATGTGTTGTGAAGGTACGATGAGGTTTCGTTGTTGGGATACACCGTGGGACTCTCGTCGACCGATGTCGATTGCACGTTCGGCTGCGACGGCCAGTTAGAAGCGGCGGCGGCGGCAGCGGTGGCGGCGGTACCGTTCCTCGCCGCGAAAGTGGAATGATTGCGGAAGCCCTCGTTGCGATATGCCAGGTCGAAGACCGGATTGTCGACGCTCTGCGCCGCGCCGTACTTCTGCGCCGTACTCTTGAAGTCGCTCGTGCTCGGCGAGTATCGCGGATTATGTGCCTCGTACACGTCGTAGCTCTGATTGTCCTCTATCGAGGAATTCAGTTGCGACTTGTCCATCGAGTCTAGGCTACCACCGTTCAACATGCGCTTATAATTCGAGTTTAGCGTATCCGTGGAATGTTTGGTCTGAAACATAGATGTGAAAAAAGGATGTCATTCGCATCTTTATATTAATTTCTTTAACTTCTCTTTAAAGATACTCTGAAAAGATATTGTCGGACTTGCGAAAAAATGATTGAGAAATTAGAAAATTATTCAAATCCAATATTGATTCTAGTATTTTTTCACAAGAATATAACACTAAAGTCTTTAATTAACTTTTAAAATGGTTCACGCAGTTTTAATCGTTATTACGGGTTTAATTCTAAAATCTATTGGCATTTATTTGCTCAATTGTCGCAATTTATATTTACCGCGATAGGCTTTCGTCGATAAGCAAGCTCCGTGAAACCCGACGTGGAGCCGACCGATCGCAGGGAATGCAGGGATTGCCTAATAGAGTTACGCCGCTCCAGTCTTTCGAGTTTGCGTTTCTTCGACTTGGATGCCCACAACGCGATCGCCGCGGTCAGCAATGCCAGCGCGACACCGACAGCTCCCAAAACACCCACCGCAACGATATCTTTCCTCCACGACAGAGGATCGATGTTGACTCTGGGATCTGTCAAAAACCGAAATAATTTTTTTTATTTTCTTAATTTTTTTCTTATTAATTTGTTATATCTCGTTATGATATTCTACGTACCGATTTCGCAAATGAATGAATTGGGTTGCGCGCAGTGATCGATCTCGATGGTTTGATACGTGAACATCGTGCACTGATCGATGCGTTCCAATTGTTGCACCCATACGCGCTCCGAATAATCGAATCGCTCCTGTTGCTTGCGCGCGAATTTCCAGAGTTCCAGATAATCTCCCATAATGAACGGCATCGACGCGTTTGCCGACTGCATGAAAAAAAGACGATTTAATAAATATAAAATGAAGGAGAGAGCACGTGAGACTAAATACACGCATTTTAAGAGATTAAGTATCATACACCCGGCTAGAATAACTCACCCTGCAAAAGTCTCGCGCGCTGTAAAAGTCCATCGGCGCGCCGATCAATATGTAACACGTGTCACCGACGAGATCCCAGGCGGGTGGACACTTGCCGCTTAATACCGACTTATTGTTTATATGGAAGGGCTGAAAATCCACTTGCAGCAACTCGGGTGAATCCCCTCGATCTCTGATGCGTCCAGCCACCGCCAAAGTTTCGTTGTAGCCCCACCAGTTGTGCCGCGCGTCTATGTGGGGTATTCGCCACATTTCTAATTCACTAGATGGGAGATTCGTTTGATGAGTGTTAAGATCTTTAAATAATCATCTTGCGATCAAATTTTGCTTTCACTTACAGAGATCTGTTCGGCGTGAGCATCTCGTAATCGTTATCGGGATTAAAAAATACATTATCGACGTATTGCTGGCCGGGTGTACCGGCGATGATAGTGCTACGGCCTTCACGATCGACCGCGTAGTTTCTAAAAAGTTATAAATATTTTATTTCTTCCGATCGCGTCCGTATAATTTTCTATAAAGCGAGCTTCTGGCACGCGATGTGATAAAGAAATATGAAGCAGAAAAACATTAAAAAAATATATATAAAGTGACTCACTTGTAGAAGCCGTTGTGAGATGTGCTTTGATAGGGCAAGCGGACCTTCTCGAATCCCGAAATCTCCAGTAAGTGCATACCGAGATTTCCGTGTAAGTAATTGAGCGTCATGTTGCTGACCACTTGCTTCAAAATGATGTTATTTTCGTAGGGAGCATTGTTCTTGGTGAAATAATTCCTGAATATAGTCACCTCTTGGTAGGGACTGCTCTGACGACCCTCGACGTACCTGAAGAGAATCCGCAGTGTCACTCTCTCGTTACTTTTATAAACGAATTACAACATTGTACTTACAACGCAGGCCTGTTGAAGTTTTCCGTGAAGAGATTATTGTGAATCCATCCCTTGAGGGACGTTGCTGAACCTCTCGAATCGGCGCGGATGGAAAGACCGCCTTGATTCCGCTGCACCAAATTGTTCTAAAACACATTAAATAATTAAAAAACGTCGCGTTTTGAGAATGTTGTGAAAAGAAATTAAGCGTATTACGTTTTGTACTCACCCTGAAATAGAGCGACTGCGTATTTTGAACGTCGAGCCACAGCGCAGATTTACACGTGGTGAAATTACCGTACAGCTTCTCGCAATTATTCACAAATTGATTACGCTCAAGTGTCATTATGGCATTCACCTCGCCTGCGCTTGAATACTTCACGGCTCCCTCGCGGCAGTTCGATATCACAGAATAGGAAACGTTGTGCTGCACGTCGCGATCTGCCAATTACGAAAGTAAACAAGCGTGTGAGAGGAGTACGTAATCCGAAATAAGCGTAATTATAAAAAAAATTACTATTTCTCCAATAAAACGTTAGATTGAGATTACTTACTGAAACCAATGGCAGATATCGGGAGAGTCACGATTTCCGCGATAAATCCGTGCACATTACTGGCGCCGTTGGCGAATAACCGAATGCTAATACTGGGATTCTCCGTTCTGAACAATTTCTTCTCGTCAGGAGTATTAACTTCTAAATGGGCAATCGCTTTGGTGCTGATATTGTAAATATCCCCGTCGTACAGTGTTATACCGTCGGCACGGCCCGGCTTGCCGGTGGAGTTGTAAAGATTGAATTGCAAAAGCCTGGAAAATCAGGATATTCGCTTTCTAGTTTTTCGTCGCGCTATTTTGAAAACCGTTCTCGCGCGACACGAAAAAGAAAAGAGTCAGACATACCTAAATCCAAACGGTTTGGTTTTGTAAGGACTGCGGAAAATCTTCACGCAATTCACAGGATAATTATCGTACTTGTAATACACGATCACACGCTCCTCGATCGTGATCTCTTTCGCGGTGTCGCATATATCGACCATGCTGAATAGATGATAAGGAATATTGAGATCCTTAATAGGCATGAACGAGCTCTCATCCGCCTCGCGGCCTTCTCCCGTCAAGGACAGTACATTTACGCCGTTGCCGAGGACGTTGTTAATCGTGTTGAATAGTAATTCCACCTGTAATATGCATAAAAACACGTGTGCGTGACCGTGCGTGTTTTCAAACAAACGGGAGCTACTCCGCTTTGCGTTTTTTTTTCTTTTTGCATTACAAATGTACAATTCCGCATTACCGTGTGCGTCGGAGACACGACGTTGATGCCGTGATAAGCGCTGCGATCTATGTTTACGTGCACCACCGCCGGAGACTTCATGATCGACTGTATGGCGGACGATTTCTCGTAGTGCAGGATCCCGGCGCCGGTTATGTTGATGTATCGGAGAACCGACTCGACACGCCTGACCGTTTCGTGAGTCACGACGTCGTGGATGCGATGCTCGTAGAGATGATGCTCGAATTCGCTGTTCGCGATGCGTATTCCGCCCCAATAATCGTAAGCGTCGTCCAGGTTTCGCTTGCCGCAATGCAGGAAAACGAACTGCCCGTCCCACGAGCACTCGTGACGATGACCGAACAACTGACCGTTCAGTCTGATCTGGCAGTCCTCGAGGCTTTGCTCTTTCCCAGAACACTGTGAAACGTTTAAAAATTAGCGAGTTCGGGAATTTTCCCGAATACAAAATCAAAAGTGAAAAACCGATCGCACCTGCAGCGGTTCGGGCCAAGACCAGACGCGCGTCAACGAACCAGGATGGAGCTCGTATCTACGATCATATGACACGTACACGTTGAGGGTGTCGTAACCGAGTTGTCGGCATGCCACCTCGGCGTTGCGCTCGGTGAATCGATCGTCGCACAACGGGATCCACTGAAGAGTCGTCTTGTTAAAGTACTCTAGAAATCCTGTTACAAAAGAAACGTAACTGAATATACGAAAATAATAATATATATAATAATATAAAATATAGTGAAAATAAAAAAATATATAAAAATAATATTATATAATAATAAAATAATGTACATAAAAAATTTAGAGAAATTATGAGACAGAGACAGAAAATCTACTAATAAATAATGAGTTTTTTAAAGAATGATTTTTGTTTTCTCGATATACCTTCGTGGTGCAATGCGGAGCAACGTCCATCCTTGCACAGACGAATCGTCTCGTCTGGCGTTGATATAAGATTAGCGGAAGCCCTCATTGGCGTCGGCTTGGAGAATGTAGTGTTCACGCTCGCGTCAACTCGTTTCATCGGTCTCATTACGATCTCGTGGCCGGGTACGCCGACGGCTTTCAACGTTCCCAGGACTAAGATGCCAACGTTAGGAGCGAACTCCATCACGACGTCGGGGTAGATGTGCATGGTAGCTTCCGGCATGACCGTGATGTCGGAACGTATAACGTAGGGCTCGGATCTCGCGTACAACGAGAGACTGTCCACTATGCGACCGCCCAGATTGTCCAAGTCGATTTCCCGATTTACATGCCACGACGCGGAGATAGACGCGTCGAACGAGTCGCTCATCAAGTACGGCCGATAGTTGGCCACCGCGTGATCGTTCCAATCATCGAAATCGAAAATCCTCCATCTACGAAAAAACGTACAGGTTTTAAATAAATCAAATGCAGTATTTTCTCTGAAAAGTAACAAATCGTTTACGTGAAATTTTACCTGATAGAGGTGTCGTTATCGGTACCCCACCAATTCTCCATCACGTCCACTTCGTTGTTGATCTTGGCCGTCCTGATGCCCGCCAGTAACTCGTAATCCAGCGAGTTCTCGCCGAAGAGATTTCTGTTGACTCGCACCTTCTGTATACCGTGAAAGCCGACGACGTAGCTGGGATCGTCGAACGTTCGGCGTGGTCCCATACCGACGAGATCGTACGCGTTTCGCTTGATCTCGTTGTAATAGAAGCGCGCGTAAACGTCACCGAGGATCTCGGACTGGCTGTCCGCGCGGAACTCGACCATGTAGACGCCGCTGTTACCCTCGATACGGTTGTTGTCGATTCTGATCCTCTTCTCCATGCCGCGTATCGATATTAGACCGGTCTTGCAGCGATTGCTGTCGAAACGATTGTGGGATACGTTCAGGTGCGCGAAATGCCCGTCCACCACGAAGCCGAACTGTTCGTTGTTACGCCAGGTGTTATTGCCGAAGTACAGGGAGTGCGTGAAGTTCTCGTTGTACTGCCAGACGTCCGGTAGCAGCACCTCGAAACCACCGCCGCGATTTCTTTCGATCGTGCTGTCTTGCATTATCCAGTGGAAGAGATTGTTGGAGTGCCTCGCGTCGCGGCTGAACTGATGTATACCTTTACCGTTGTCTGTGATCAGGCTGTTGTTTATGTGTATCGAGATCTCGGACAGATTCGTCTGATAGATGTTCCAGTAAGGCGAATACACGTAAACGGCCTCCTCGTGATTGTGCGATATCTCGCAACCGACTAGCTGAATAGTCTCGTTGGCTTTCCGTAGAAAATGATCGCCGATTTCGTTCAGGTACCGATTGTAGTAGAACGCGAGCACGCCTTTCTGATTGCTCTTGATCCTCGTCTTCGTGACGATCAGCGACGGAATAGGACCTCTGACTATTTTATTGCGAATATTCTGTAAACGTAATCGTAACATTTAACAAACGTACAATCAATGCTATATTTCGGTAAATGTTGTATTCGAACTTAAAATATATACCTGTATCGGAGCCAGGAGCGACGTGACAACTATGACAGCTCCACCGAGGGCATTATCACCGCTGTCGTACTCCAAAATTACCCCGAAGGAACTGGACGAGACGGGGAAGACGTTCAGGTCCCGTTTTACGTGCCAAATCGTCTGATTCTCGTTGAAACGCTGCGAGTCGTGCAGTATAATCTGTTCCGTACTTCGATTCTCTATCGGGTTCAACAATTGGATGCCGATGACGTAGCCGTGGGTGCACTGTGATTTGGATAAAGTTTAGTTTCAATCGCGATTCAACAGAATATACGTTTTGCGAGAGGGAAAAGAATTTACTTTAATGGTGATGGTACGACGGACGGATTCGCCGGTCACTTTGGCCGTGATGATGTATTTGGTCTCCCCGTTAGCGAGCTCGATGACATTCCCGTTCATGTCCGGCAGGATTATCGGATTGTACGGCGAGTCGATCGTGGTGTCCGGCGCGCGCAGGAACCATCCCGCGAATTCTCTCTGCTGAACGGCCGAGAGTGCAGGATTGTGCCTTATTCCGGCGAACTTGTTGTTCTCGATTCGCGAGCTGATGATCCGCATGCCCAGTTGCTTAAAACTGATGCCACTCCCGCCGTTCTGCGAGAAATCGCTGTTCGTCACGATATTTATCGCGTCCGCCGAATATATGTCGGAATACAGAACTCCCAAGCCGTCTTGCAGATTGTTAATGACCTTGACACCGTCCAGCGAGTGCCGGGCGAAATCGATTTGTAAGGCTATTATAAAAATACAACATTATTCGTAATACATTCGGATCGATTGATTATTAAGAAAATCGGCAAGGAATTACCTGGCTTAAATGAATTCGTTTTGTAATCCAGCAAGCCTGCCTTTTCGATCGTCACGTACTGCAAGTCGCTTCGTTGCGCCAGCGGTCCCAATCTGAGACCCGCCCATGCCGCCTCCAAACACCTGACGCCAACATCATTCGCGTGAGTGCACGAGTTCTCGAAATCCTGCTCCCTTTCCGCCCGACATTTAGTTATATCACTGTCGTATTCGGTACAGCGCACATTGCTGAGAAGTATATCCTCGTTGATGCCCGCGTTTGGAATGTGCGATCGCTCCACGAGCCAATTCTCGTAATCGAGGATAAAGCCTAACTGATGGCAAACGAGCGCCGCATCCAGAATCGTCCATCCATAATTGCACACGGTGCCCCATTTATTCCCAATTTTTACCTTTCAGAATTAAAGAATAATTGAAAATTATGTAAACCGCAATTTTTTTTATTTTAACGTTTTAAAGTTTATTAATATTTGAAAAAACTGATAAATTAGCTCTTTAAAGATAAACATTTAGAGAGAAAATATAGGGTGTTACCTGCAGTCTCCCTTCGAGATTCGTTTTTCCACCAAGAAGTCTCACTGGCACGGTTTCCGTCTCGTCGATTTGAATTGTATCCTCCTCGTCCGTGAAAGTGTCGTTAATCGGTAACACATTGAGTTCCTCCTTGAGGGTGAACAAGATATCGCTAGGCTTCTTGCCGCGCGCGTCGAATTTGCCAGCGATCATCATTCCCACGGCCGGTGGGAAGCGTAACGTAACGCCCGGCTGCAGTATTAGTTTGCCGCCGGGTCTCACGTTGATATCACGCTCGACCATGTACTCTCCGGCTTTTAATTCCTCCTGGCCGTCTACCTCACCCCCGACTAGATTCGTGCCGGGCGTGATGAACTGCGGCACGTACGTCCGATGCTGCATGATGGTGTTCGCGCCAGGGTTGCTGCTGTGAAGCAGGTAAGGCAGATACTCGATCTTGGCGAGATTGTATCTGTCCTTCCTGAACAGCAAAAGTTGTAATTAATTAACATATTGTATTTTTATCATTACTTACTATTCTCAAGAATTGAAAAATGTTAACTAGACGTACCTGTGGAACAATCGATCGAATATCCTCTTCTCTTCGTGAGATCCTAGCCAGTTGTACGTACAATTGATAACTTTGCTCTGATCCTCCAGATGAGAGCCGATCTCATAAGGCGATTCGGGATTTTGTAAAATGTTACGGAAAACTTCGACGTTGCCCGAGGATACGACAACGACAGCGGCTACCCTGGAGCGCGGTATCAGTTTGACATTCAGCATATCGCCGTTGTCGAACAGCTCCCGAACGCGATTGTCACGCAGGAAGTTCCTCGTGAACAGTAACTTTTGCGCGTCGTTGTAAGGCGATAAGCCGATGCTGGCTACGAAGGTACCTCGGTTGTCGTAGAATTCGTTATGTCGGATCACGACCTCCGCGGGTAAGACGTTAAACTCTTCGTACAGCGGATTTTTTATCAGAATCGCGCCGGTCGCTTGGTCTCTGAAGTGATTGTACTCTATAATAGCGTCGAGATTGAGCGCCGGGCTCAATTTGATCCCCAACTTCGCATTCTTTATGAACGAGTTGTGCCCGATCTGCACTCTCATTATTCCATTGTCCCTCCTCCAACTGGATTCCACTTGCAGCGCCGTTTCGAGGCTGGTATTGAACCAGTTGCCAGTTACATTCACGTACGAGTTGCCGGTTGAATTACCAATCTGTCGACCGAAGAAAGGTAGATGTTAATTCATATATATATTATAACAATCAACGATACAAGTAAAACAATATATATGTGCTTACCAAAACGCCAATGTCCTTATTGCGGAATATCTGCGAGTACTCGATCACGGTCGATTGATTGAAGTGTACGTATTCGGTGGCGAGGCTGTCGTTTAGCCACACCGCGAAACCGTAACCGCTGTTGGACGATATACTGCTACGCGACACGTTACGATTGCCGCCCGTAACAGTGATGTTAACGCCGTCCCCTTGGTTGAACGAGATACGGCTGTCGGTGATATTAACGTCCGTCGCGCCACCCAGCACCTGCACGCCCGCCACATGATCGTTATTCGACACCGAGGTCTCGTGGATGTGCAAGGCGGATCTTAGCTTCTCCACGATGATACCACGGCCGCTGTTGCCTGATATTACACTGCCAGTCACGTTGAGATCATATGTTTTCTCTGTGGAAAAAAAAGCATTAAGCATCTTTAATAACTTAATAATTTAAGATCCGTATAATCCGGAATGTGTAAATTCTTCTTAGACTCACTGTAGCCTGACGACACTCGCATGAACACGATCGTGTTCGTTCGGGATTCCGCTGTGAACTTCACGAAGAGATTCTGGCGCGTTGAGGTCACGCTCTGCGGTAACGTTCCGTTTCTGACTTTGACAGTGGCCAAAAGCCTGTCCACTCCGCTTATACCGTCGCGCACCTCTATGACAGCGCTGTCGTTTCTGTCGGTTTTCATTTGCAGAAAATGCACCGTCAGCACATGGCCCGGCCTCGTGAAAATGTGCTGAACAATATATATTGCCATTAATAAACGCGTTGTCGCGTTATCGTTAAAATTTCCGCGCGAAGTACAGTATTACTTTCGCCAGCGGTAAACAGTCGTACTCACTTGTGGACAATATTTTACGTTGAGCGCATATTTATTCTGCTCCATAGATACAGTGATGGGGAAGGTCTGACTGGTCGTTGTAGGGAAGGTACAAAGATCGTACACGTCGTTACGATCCAGCTTCTCGTCCGGTCGCTCGTCCGCGTGCACGTACTTTATCCCGTCCGCTCCGTTCTCGAAAACCGTGCAGTTGTTGATATGCGCCATGCCGGACGAGCTATTTACATAAATCCCGTATCCTGAAATAAATCCACCAGTAAATTATCACATATTATTATTCGATATGGTACTTGTAAGTAAAACATTAAAATGTAATAGACGAAAAGAAGATGAATGGGAGATGATTTGTATCTTACCTCTGTTATATTGCACGGTACAATTATTTATCACGACCGGTGCGTCCGGCGTGGTGACGTTGATACCCGTGAAAGCAGAATGGAGAACAGAAATCGACTCCATTCTCGGTGGTACGCCTTCCACATGAATTGCCGATGTTACATTGTATTCCCTCCCGGTGCCAGCATATCTATTTGCAGAATTAAAATAGTTTTATATACGCGATATATTAAAAATAAATATATTAGGGAAAATTGATTGTTATCTCCTTGAAGATACTCACTCGATCACCGTATTTCGCAAAATGGACCGCGATCGACGCACGTAAAGTGTGTTCTGTTGAATGAGCGGTCTATGGTACACCGCGTCCTCAAATCGTATCCCTCGCCAATGCTTGATCGCTTTGGTCGCACCATCGTGGCGAGGCAGGCAAGAAATACCCAGGTCCGGATGATAATCTATGAAATGTAGGATCGGTAGATTAGATTGGCACGTTGCCATTTATTGATTCACAATACTTTTTTGCAAATATCTTTATATAATTTTTCCAAAATTTTCCAGAATTTTTATATAATTGAATCTTTAGAAAATTTCTCAGATTTTTTATGCGAATTGAAACACTTCGGAAGAGGGAACGTTTACATAATTTTCAAAAAACAAAATGTAAAAGAAGTTTAAGGTATTTTTTGAAAAATCTGTATAAATTTAAAATATAAATTCTTAAAAATATTATAAGATATAAGAATTTTTTCATCAGAGACGTGCAATCAATTTTACTTTATTTAATGATTAAAAATAATGTACATTACCGCAATTTTTACAATAAGATTCATACCTTGAAAAATACAATTACAAATACATACATGCACACATAGAGAAGGAGAAATCTGCAAACACTCACCGCAAACACCGGCGCCCAATTCTCTCTCCGACCAACGATCGCAAATTGTTAGCGACATCTCGGTGCCACGACAACCTGGTTCTTCATAAAGAAGACGCGGCTTGGACGGCCATTGTCTGTCGACCCACGACCACCATTGACCGCCCTGATAACCAAGCTGCCGGCACGCTGTCTCCAGGTCCGCGCGGGTCCAACTGTAACGCAATGAGATTCGCATATAAAAATATCTGCTCCGGTATCTCCATTGTTGTCGGTTACGTTCGCTGCGTACGTACTTTCGCGAGTTCGTGCAGACGGAACGCCAGGCACTTTGATGAAAGAGCTGCAGCCTTCCCGCTAGCGGACTCGGTCCGTCAACAAGGCGTATCGTGGGTGATGCTCGAAGAGTTGGAACCTGCGTTTCCACTTCCGCCGCGGTCAGCAGGATCGGCGCATGTGCCTCGCCCTTTTAACAGAATTAACAATCGTTAGAAAATATTCAACAAAATTTTATTTGTAAATTAAAATGTTAAAAGACACTCTTGTAAAAAAAAATCATTGATTCGCGAACAAAAAACCACGATAATATACTGCATCACTTTTCATCCCAAATTTAGTATCCATATTATTATCGCTACTATTTTACGTCGCTATGTTAAGTAGGTAATACTGGGTATAAAATGGGAGGAAATTCCATAAATTCAATAGTAATATGTATGGCGGTTACAGGTGTTCAATGTTCCACTGCGAATTACTTTCGCTCGATTTAACATCTACGTTCCTTTACGGCGTGAAACTCTTGCGTTAACACTTTGACTGCCGTATCTATTAGCCATATCTGGATAATTTCAACAAAAACCTGGTCTCCCATTTGTAAGTGACGGTTTTATTTACCCGATTAAGAATAATTTTACTAAACATTTAACATATTAAAGAAACAATATAAGCTACAAGACATTAAAAAAAAAAGAAATATTAATTTATTAGATTTATCAAGCTCAATGCTAAAATCAATGCTTGGCAGGCAAAGTGTTAAAGGCCGAAAAATTTCAGCAGCGCCGCTTGATCCGTGCCAAGAGCGGTGCCGAAGGTCTTGGCACTACGTAGAGTCTATAAGAGGATTACCGAGGTCGTGGGTCAATCGCGCGGGGGCAAGAACCGCCGGTTGACGCGTGACCTGAAACGCATCGGTTAGAGCATTAGAGGCGGTGCCGCTGCTGAATCACTCGGTCGTACGGTTACACGCGTTGTTCGCATCCCGTTCTTAATTATCCGATTAGCGCTTTCTGCAGACCCCTCGACACCGGTCGACGGAAATGGCACGGACAAGAAGTGTCCGTTTACAGAGATTAGAACAACCGTTCGCTCGCCTTTAAAAATGTTTTCCCCATTAGCGATAGCGCTCGGCAATCTTCGATAGCTTTCCAAGTGACATAAATGACAGGTCAGTAGAAACGCTCATTAGTAAATTAACACTAGAACCATGTTCTAGTATTAGTGATTCCATTAAAACTGCCGAAGGTGCCAATTTGATAATTTTCTGTCCTTACTTTCGAATAGTAAAGAATAATTTTGATATTATTAATATTATTAGATTTAATTACTTGTATTATATTTAATTTTCGATATCCTGTACATATATAAATACAAAAAAGAAAATTAAAATACGTTTCCAATATTTCAGTTCTATAAGTTCTAGGGCTCATTTTCTCTTATCTCAGCGTGAGTATATTAAGTGAATTTCTTCGAAACTGTGAGGACACGCACACGGTATTTCAGCAGCTCCAATTACAGAGATCATTAATTTCATATTATTTTTGGTAACTCCGATGACTCATCCGTTCAACATTTGTTTTCTTCCATTACTAATAAATTAACATAACGCGTGTTTAATGTTTCAAAAACTCAACTTTTTAAATAATTTTAAATATTTTTGTGATTGCGGTATGTCGTATCTGTATAGAATAATTGAGTGCGCGCGTGCCCCCTTTAAAATTGCTACGTGCGACGCAACTTGCAATTAAAATAGCAACAAGATAACACCTAATAACACTTGTTAGAAGCATTAACGCGTAGGTACGAGCGCCTATTTTGCCGATACCGTCCACACCAATAATGCAACAATAAAAGCAACGATGCTCGCGTGTCCGTGGCGTTTCCGGTCAACCAGTGTCCTCCGCGCGCGCGCGAAAGGATCCCTTTCCTGTCGGTGTACACCCGTCGCTTTGCATTCTTTCGTGATTACATTTACCGGACTGGAGTAAAGCACGATGCTCTTTATTTTACAAAATTACTTCTAGCTTTGTTATTATTAAACAAAAGCTTCACTCATCGCAAAATAACTGATATTATTATCGCTTTCTCGGTAAAACACTTAATTGAAGGCTAGAAAAAAAAATATATCGTTCTTTATACTATCAAATAGCTTTTTCTAGAACGTGGACAGATTTTATAAAATAACTATAATAGATTTCGATATAATTTAAAAGTGAAATATTTAATACAGAAAAAACATTCCGTTTGCAAATTTTGTCAGTTACCACACGTCATTTCGTCACTCGATGACGTCTATAATGAAATTCGATATTAGCGTTGATTTCTTAATAACGATTACTTTTAGTTTTAATCGCAACTCGTCTGTTTACCGAAAACTACACGGATGACTCGACTCGCTGGTAAAAAAAAGGGGGGACGATAAATCGTTGGCAAACATCGACAAGTAGTCCGTAACGTGCATCCAACCAAAGTAAGAGACATTCGACAGTTATTACAATCGCACCGGAAGAATGAATTAAAGCCGGGCGAGCGAGAGTGTATAAGATTACCGCGAGGGGATTCATTTTACAGAGATGAAATCTCGAGTATTTAAAACGACGCACGAGACTATACTATAATCTTGCAATCCTTTATAACGCCCTATTTAATTAATCCTACACTATTTACATAATTTATAATGTAATTTAATCTATGTTATTTAATATATATTATTTCATTTAATTGATAATAATTAATAATTTTGACAGATAATAATATAGTTTATGAACGTAACAAAAAAAGCACGCAAAAGAAGCACGTGACAAAGTTAAAGAAATCAAGCGTATCGCATCTCGCCGCGTATTTAAATCGTGTCTAATTCCGTGAAAATATTACGACGCACGGGAAACGTGTAATTATGAATCACGTTCTTCCACGTACATACTCCGCACCGTTCTTAAATGATTATGAAATCTCGCTGATAACGAAGCTGGTATGACTCCAATCTCATTATCAGTTAACGGTATCAACGGCGCTATCGATTCTCAGCGTAAATGACGATATAACCAGGCCTAGCCGGCAGGTGCAAGTAAAGTTTTACTACCGCTAATAATACCCCGTGAGATTTCAATTTGAACTTCTTACGCATAATATCGCGAAATTTCTAGAATCGTAACCCACGAGGCTTTCCGAGAACGCAATTTGTCTTTAAGTCGATCTTTCTCTCTCTCTCTCTCTCCCTCTCTCGTGCATGTAGTAACACGTGCACAGTTTCACGCCACGGTGAGTCATGTCCATTCAATGTCCGCACGTATACACGCACACACGTCCATCGATATTTTCTTCGCAACTGTAAGGATGCTGTCCGTAATTATCGGTGCTCGCGTTGGTACAACCTGAGCGATATTCGATAAAAGTCGTGAGGTATCTGTAGCGAGTCTTTCTTATGCTTCGAATTTTTTTCTTATCGAATACTCAATATACTGGTAGGTATTCGAATAGAAATAAAAATGAAATGAATACAATAGTTCATTTACAATGACACAACTCAGAAAACGAATAAGTATCAATGTTTTGAATCATTAAAAGTTTATAATATTAATTTTGAAATGCAATTTTGGTTTAACAACTGACTGTAGAAGAATAAATGTTCTTTCTTTTTTTCTCATGTTTCCATTCCTTTTTTGCAAGCAACTAAAAAATAATTTTTGTTGTGTCACTAATGTAGCAAACAAGAACGAAACGTACAAACAGAGAGTGACTGGAGTATAGCTTTGCCCTTGGTCTTCAAACTTAGTTTTGATGACTAGGGCTCGCGTAATTTAATAGAACTCTTTAGAGGCACAATAAGACGTATGCCTGAGAATGACCCGCTCTGCGAAAACGTACTCCTCGAGAGACCCCTCGGCGGAGCACTATACATTAGCAAACAAAAGTAACGGTTGGAAAATCTAGCGCTCGCGCGAGACGTGCGACGGTACTGATCTTCACGGCTTGAACGAGACTATTCTCGCACGATGTTTATCGGAATTCACCTGGAGCGAGCATAACAATGTACGAGGCACTGTAACGAGGTGCGAGTATTATTTGTCGGCAGTGAATTTTGCAACAAAACGCAACTATTTTGGGTAAACTGTTGCTCGAACGCGTATCTTCTCTCTAAACGCTAAAGGTAATCTCGCAAATTTACTTAAGTGCAGTCAATTTCCAGAAAAATGTTATCTTGATGACGAATCTCTAACATTGCACGCTGTCGACTAGACGGCGACTCTAAATATTGTACTACGCTACTTGTGTCTCTCAAGAGAGAGAGAGAAAGAGAGAGAGAGACACGTTTGTCATCGGCGATGCAGTTTCGGAATCTCAATGAACGATCGCCTTTGTTCTCTCTCGTTGTCGTCGTCGTCGAGAACAAAGCCGGACTTTCTCCAGGGGAGCGTGCACTCTACCTTTTAGCGGAGTTCCCTTTATTGCAACTTTTACGGATTATTACCTCGGCGGTTATGATACCGCGAACGGTGATGCCGATCATCGGGCCGAAACGAATCTCCACGCCGGACTCGACGACGAGCTCGCCGTCCCTCTCGACGAACAGATCCTCCCGCAGCAAGTAAGGGCTCTTCGATCTCGACAGCAGTCTCTGACCTCGGACAATGCGGCCGCCGTGCAGCTCATGAAGACCGCCGTTGTTCCAGGGCACCCCGCTCGCGTTCATCAGCATCGTCGGCTCCGTGTAGTAAATCGACGTCGAGTCGTACCTGTCGTCCGGCCGGGCTCCTGCCAGAACGGCCAGGATCGACAGCGAGACGCACAACCGTTGCATTCCTCGACACATGTTTCCGATCGTCGATTTAATTTGAATCCACTCGATGAGAGAGAGACACTGAACTCACTAGAAGATAGAATCCACCCACCGTAGTCCTTCGATTTATTATTAAATCTGAAACGGGAACGGCACTCTTGTAACATTCAAAAAGGCTTAATGATTAATGCAAGTGACATTTTTGTTTAAGAGACTCCACCGTGTTTCCACCGCGATTTCTCGATACGTACAGCCTTTACGGCCTTCGGGACAAGCGCGCATACCAGTTGAGCATTACGCAAACACACGTGCACACGAATCGGGATGCACTCGCGTCGACGAGGCCGTCGCTCGCTTGGCGAGAATCATCCGCTTATCGCCGACCGATCCACGGACGCGCGTCACTCGCCGATCCGATTCGCGCGTGAGTCAGAAAACGTCTTTCCTCCTCGCGCCGTGCAACATCTGATACTTTCACTGGTCAGCGAGCTCGGGCGCGAGCTTCGGACAACGATCGTCCGTACCGCAAAATACGTTTATTGCTCTTCCTGGTGTTCGCCAATCGCCGTGACCGTTCGGCAGATCGCGTCTCGCGATGGAGAACTTTAACAAAACTATCGAAACGCTTTACGAGACAACTGCATGCGATATGTCTGAACGCGAGAACAAGTTTTGAAAGAAAAGAAAAAAATACTGAAAATGAACGAGCTGTCTGTAGCACTGTCACTTTATTGTGACAAAGAAAAGAGATAGATCTAAAGATATCCTAAAAATATTACAAAATAGATACTAAATCGAGTTTTTAACGTAGCCCGACAAATTTGAAGTCAATTTCTCTTTTGTGAAATTCGACTTTCTAATAATTTCTTCATTTTTGGTATTTTGCTAAGTCGTAGCTAAACTTCGTAACTTAAAATTAAAGTGAAAGCAAGCAGCAATAAAATGTTATGTTTATCTACAAAACTTAATCGCGGAATTTTCTATTTTTTTTTATTGTTTGTAAGATTATAAAATCTTTTGATCAAAAAACTCGTATCGAGACAAGTACGGGGAATAATGAGTTTTTGGTAAAGTTCAACTCAAAAGACGGCAATTCGAATTCGAAACGGTTAAATTCGAATTCCTCCAGGAGAGCTTTGTAACGATCCTCGATCGCATCGATCCGGCAACGTTGGCCGCTCGTTTGAATTCTCATCGCAGAGCCTCTGACCATTCACCACATGCTCACCGCTCATACAACCGCTCATCAACATCGCGCCCTTCACGCACGTGTGTATGTCGTGTGAATCGAAGCGAAGCGACGCGCGACGCGCGACGCCGACGACGCGACGCGCGGTGTCACGGAGCGGAGAGAGACACCACGGTGGAAACCATCTTCGGCGACACTTACCGATGCTCTGTACCGAAGACGCGGGATACTTCGCGGGGTTCGAATTCGTGCGTTAATCCTCCTCGCTCGTTCACGCGGTTCGTTCACGGACCGCGGCGGTGGCGGACCGTGCGCGTAACGCAGCCGTTACTCCGTGCTCCGCTTGGCGATTCCTCTCGTTTTCACCGCAAACCGTGAGCGCGGCCGTTTCGCTGCGTTTTACCGTCTCACGTTCGCGATTTCTTCGTCTCGTTCCTGTTCTTTTTCTTTTTTCTTTTCAATTTCCGTTGAAATCAAGTCGAGATCGAGGCGTTCGATCTTGACGTGGACCCGCGCCGATCTCCGTGAATCATCGCCGATGATGATGACGCCGATCGATCGATCGATCGTTCGTTCGTTAAATGTTCGCGGATTTCGCTAAAGCCCCTCGGCCGCGGCGACGCGACGCCGTCGTCGTCGTTGGTCGGTCGCAGAGCCGGATCTCGCCCCCATCTGGAGCGCACCTCCCTCGGAGTCGTGGGCGCGGTTGCGGTCACTGCGTTTTGTGCTCGCGTATACGCGCACTTTTCGCCGCGGTCAACTCACTCCTTGCGCAACCCGCAACGTCGCCGTTCCTCACAGAGGCGCTACGGCTACTACCGCGGTCGCCATGGTGCACATTCGCTGGTAGCGCGCTGACGCTACGCTACACCTACTACAGCGGAGCCGTGGAGCGCGGGTCACGTGACGCACCCGAGCGTGCACGTCACGCAGGTTGTGAAACAGGTGAGTCCCTCCCAAGCGCGACTGTACTGGGTGTCCCGGCGCCGCGTGCTGTCCTTCTCGGCCGAACTTTGGACTCCGAGCGACTCCTTGATCCTGGCGCACCTATATGGTTTTCCAATACAATTAGCTCTTGACGATTAAAGGAACGCCGAACGAACTGAGCTTCAACAATGAGGAGGAGAATTAACTGTGTACTTTTCAGTATACTTTTCAGTAAACAATCTAGAGCTCTTGCTTTGACAGAATTTTAATTTGAAGCTCAGTTAGGAATAAACACTAAAATATGTAAATCATACCAAAAGATGCGAAGCGTAATTTTCCCACATGATTTTTTTTTTTTACCAAAGAAAGGCAACTCCAACTCGTTTGGTTGAGGAAGCTGCGGTTGAAAGAATATCCGGTGATCCTGGGGCACCCTATATATACGTCACGTCGCATTGTCGTGCGCCTCGATGTCTGCATACCTACGGGGGTTATTGTCTGACAAATGTAGGGTATGTTTATCGAAATCGTGCGACAAGCTTTCCGTCTTCCATCCCGATCGATGTCGGGAAAGCTGGTATTCCGGGAATGAAGTCTGACCGCTCTAAAAATTCGATAGGACTACATAAGTAGGTAAAAGAATTGCGTTCTTCAAGGAACAATCTGATGCTCTGCCGAAATTTACATTGGAAACTCGATCTCTTGCAGACGATCGAAAGACGATCAAATTCTATAAATTTATCGTTTATGTCTCGTTTTTGAATAAATTGAAGGGCTCCCTTTATTGTATCCATTTTTTTTTATTTTATAGAAAATAAAAATAATATATTGGAGCCAATTAATGTACATACAAGCAACATATTTCCCCATTAAAATATCACAAAAATTACATTTTTCCAGGAAGTCTTTCAATTAACGCGAGTTTAACAAATTATTTACCCTAATATTTCTCTCTCATTGAATTTGTTGTGAAAAAAAATGATACTTAAAGAGTGTTTGCAAAAACGCCTCTCAGATTCTCGACGTCTCTTTGTGACGCCTCTCTCAACTGTTTTGGGACGAGTCTAATTACTTACGGACTTCCTACAAACCTCAATGGAAATATCGGAAAGTCCTAAGCTCTCTCAAACAAAAGGCGAGACGAGGAGACGTCACGCTTCGATGCTCGTTCTCTCGTCAAAATACATAAACATATCTCTCACGGCCCTCACGGAACGCGAAATGCACTCGCCCTGGATCCCATCCGTTGTGTGGATTTTGAAAAGTAACGCGACGGTTCGCGACTCGTTTGATAATGAAAATAACACTCACATCGCATGGTAACGTTAGCGCGATATCTTCCGAAAACGATATTATCGATAATCGAGGAAACGTGCGATCGAGTCAAAGATGGCCGCTGCGACGACATCGTTACCGACGTGACGAGAGGTGGGCCTTGCAGTTGATCTTCACGTCTCTTCTCCTTTACTCTCCAACGTTCAATTATATCATCTGTCTCATTCCAAGTGCAAGAAATATAACGCGAAGTGCAGCTGCAAGGAACAGAAACGCCATGTGTGGTGTGAGAGAGATCGTCGGCGGAGAATGAATTTCAGAATTGTTGGAGCCTTGTGTAGCCGTTTAACCTCAAAGTTTTCCAAGTAAAATTTAATAAAAAGCTCGCGAGCATGACGGACACAAAGAACGACAAGGCGAAAGTCGATCTCGGATTGCTCGAGGAGGATGACGAGTTCGAGGAATTTCCCGCGGAAGGTACCGGTCCCTTAGTTCTCGATTTATTTAATTGACGTTTATGCGACGTAACCTCAAACACTCGTCGATTCATCGGTGTCAAATTTTCTTAAAAAAAAATTGTGGATTTGGCCTTTAAAATAAATTTATCGACCAGATTGGACCGCGAAGGATGAGGACGGCGACGATATCAGCGTCTGGGAGGACAACTGGGACGACGATGACGTCGAGGATGATTTCAATCAACAGTTAAGGTATTGCCTTGCCATAGAACAGTTTATTAAACAAATTCCACGTATACAGGATGAGGGCAACGTAGAATTCGATTAACAAAAACGTTGAAATGCATATGTAAAACGTGAAGATCGTGTTCTTTTAACTCCTTAGTACACACGATGCTTTTCCAATCCTGCCCTACAATTTCCCCAATCTCGTGTGTACCGAGGAGACACGAACGGCCCAATCATGTATACTGAGAATTGAAATCTGTAACTGCAAAGTATCGTACGCAAAACACTCACGGTGCTATAATTGATTTCAGAGCACAGCTAGAGAAACAGAAAGCTACGAGTGATGCAACCAAGAAAAATTAAATTAGCTTGTAATATACATTTAATCTTATTATTTTATATAAATAAACACGTAATTAAATATTAAGCTCGTGTGTATATTTCATATGTGTGTGTATACTCTCGTGTGGATGTGTGTATATGTTATGTGTACACGTAAAACTTCCCACGATCTTTGGAATGCAATGATAGGACTGTAGTTTGTATATACGTTGTACAACACGCACCGTAACGCACCGTTTTTGCGGGAGCATACAATTTCTTTGTACAAAAACTTAGTTATATTAAATACAAACGCTATACTTAGTAAGTTCCAGAAATTTATATAGTGCCTTCCCTAGAGTGTGACTCGTTTCTTCATCGCCATTATCAATTGAAAGGAGTCATTATTCTCTAATGGAAAAAATATCTTGGCATATCTTATTGTAAATGTATAATCAGGTACAGTCTTCGTTTTTTTTTTAAATCCGTCGGGTTTTTTTTCACAAAACGTAAACGTCAACGTATGCTCTCTATCTCTCTCTCTCTATATATATATATGGCACATATCAATTTTTTTTTCTTTACATAAATATTTTGATATAAGTATCCTAATGACTCCCCCAGACGCATGCATCATTGAGAGAATAAAACAGTGTGCGAATCTCGCTAGTCGCCAAGCAGTCTTCTATTCAAAGAAACTGAAAATCGACGAGAGAGAAGAAATAAAAATCGAAAAATATTAATTTGTGGCGTCGTGATTCGTTTTACACGAAATTAACAATTCCGATACCAGTGCGTCTAACATTTGCATGTTCAAATCTAAGTTAATTCTTTTGATTTCGTATGAACTGAACAAATAGTGCAGAGCCTTGCGCACGTCGTCCTCGCCGAATATCATTTTCACATCGTACGGTAATTTGTCTTCTAATATACGTAGTAACTTGTCTTTCGATTGTGTGTCGTTTTGACTTGTGTTATCGTGTGACGTATCCCAAATTAACGAAGAAGCGGTCAGGGAGTCAAATAGCCAAAGAATTATTTTCTGTAAATAAACGCATGAAGTTAACGAATAGCTTGTAAAAGAAATACAATATCTATTCTTCCGAATATAAATCTCACCTGTAGAATCGGTTCTGAAATGTTGCCGAATAACAATTTAGTCCATCTAACGACCGCTTCTTGCTGTAGCGTATTGTTACTAGCGATGCCTGCTAGAAGCTCACAAATTAAATCTATCATTGTACACGTCAGCGTTAAATTCGAATCTAACTCGTCTACTTCATCTAAAAAATGTAACATTTATCTTTTGTTATTGCAAGGTATATATAATTTTATATTTCATATGCAACAAAAATACTATTTGTAACTACCGTCATATGATGTATTAATGGTCTCCCACCAGCAATCCAGTAATTCCGAATCACCACCGCTAGCTTCCATCGAGTCAACTGCCTCATAAGCTGTGTCTACTGTACAATACTCTGTCCTTTCTGCGATCAGTTGCTGGAGTTCACAGGCTAGACTTTTCTACAAAAAATAGATATTTCGAAATAATTTTATATAATATATAAAAAAATATAATTAAGTTGTGAATTCAAATTTAAAAAATCCAATTATCCGCATTAAAAGAACATAATTTGCAGCAAGTAAAACAAACACTAAAGACACGAAATTTGAATTAGATTTAATTCACGTGTTACCTCTTGTCGAAATATAATCTAATAATTTTATTGATTTTTTTCGAGGATATTGAAAAATATATATTAAAATTCTCAATATTTCTCTTTTTCTAAATGCACATGTTACAATTTATATAAATTCCATTACCGATTTTATATCCTCGACAAATCTCCAAGGTATGTCAGACAAGGGCATCAGAGTAGGTGGAGGGGAAGCATCTTCTTCTTGATCCAGTTCAAAACCCGGCACAACCGTTTTCAGTGTATTGAAGACGCCGGTCACGGTCTTGGCCAGGAATCGATCCAAACGAGGCGCTATCGCGTCGGCTTTCTTACCCGCGCTGCTACTAGGTCGAAGAAAGTGACGCAGTTGCGGCGGACATTCGTTCGCCAGTCGCGTGCACAGCGTTTTCAAATACGTCTCCAGTTCGATCCGGCCACCCTCGGGCAACACCAGTTCCGACATGATACTCGTTAACGATGAAATCTGAAATGTTTCAGGCGTAATATAATTAGTAAATTTAAATCGCGACTCTCTGAATTCACCTGTAAGTACACGTCTTTATTTTTATTTTTTTAATGTTTCTTCACAGTTGCAAGCCTTACCTCTTCCAAACTGAGATGCAACTGAACGAAATCAGCGTATTGCCTTTTGACGGTAGCGGTGGTCGTTTCGAACAGATCCATCCCGCGTTGCTCGACATCGTCGAATTGTATGCAGTAGTACAACTGCTGCGAGCCGTCCGTCGCGGTGTGAAACTCCGTCCAAGGGATAGATAAATTCATAAACTGGCTCCCCTCGTATATTACGTAGGACTTTTCTTCGGCGTGTCTGAAATTTACAGGCATGTAGTGATGTAGCTTGAGAGCTTTAAGCGTCGTCTTTACTAACAGTGGCGTAGTCGCGGTCGATTTCTGTTGCAACAGATTTCTAAGCCTGGCGATAGTCGTGGCGAAATCCGTTGGTTCTTCATACACCGGTGATATCTTATCCTCTTCCAACTCCAGGTCCGTGTCCGTTATGCTGTCTCCCCACAGGCCTCTGTGCTCAGGCTCCGTGGAGAGACCCTCCAGACACAGAGTCGGTCTCTTGGGAGCTGCCGTTGAAGCTGCACTCTCATCTTCAGTCGTAGTAGCTGCAGTTGGACTAGACTTGGATACCGATTTCGGCAATTGCTGCGGAATCACAGCCGCTGTCGCGGATGTGATACCATCGCTCAGAGCAACAGTTATAGTACCCTAAAAGAACGATTAAATTAGCATATTGTCATGTAATTACTGTGTAATTGTATAAGACCTGTTTTTTTGGCTGAATTTTTTGCACCATTCATTTTTCTCTTTTTTTTTCTCCAAGAGAAAAGATGAACGTTGCACAAAGTTCAGCTAAAAAGGACAGGTCTTAAGATTGTTACTATTGAAATTTACATTGATATTTTGTTTAACTGGAGTAGCGGTAACTTCGCTCGATGGAACTTCCAATAATACTAACAAGTTCTCGATCAACCAATCTGGGCAGCTTATCGTGTCTATCGTTATTAAGAGCCTCTTCGCTAAAATAGACAACAAAAGTTTGCACGGTAACGAACTAGTTAATTCCCACTGTAAAAACTCTTGTGCCAGAACGGTAACCAAACGATGTAGCATGTGCTCTAACGTTAACGCGCTGCGAGAACCAGGGTGTAAATATTTATATGCCTCCTCCACGCTAGCTGCAGCACCTTTCTCAACTCTGCGTAATGCCCTGTGAAATGAATAGGGATAAGTAGCGTAACTTTCAGATTTGAACGATACGAACTGTAGCACACGGAAAAAAACGTAAGCAGTAAGCGAATCCACCAGTCACAGTCGAGAATTGCGGAAAA